GTTAGCATTAATAAAGGGAAGGAATGTTAATAGTATGGAGCTGCAGCAACTTAACCACCACGTAAAAAACTAAAATATAAACTACATCAGTATACTAAATATACTCTCCAATAAGCTGAGCTACTAACAGTAAGTCATACATTACAATTCTATGTCGCAAAAAATATATCATATGCCTCCAGCTAAAGTTTTTTTCTCTTACATCACACGGGTCTACCTCGTACTATATACTGCCATAGACAAACCCAACCTTAAATTATATACTGTATTACTATACACCACCCTATACCTTAGACTATACATTGTAATATTACACTATGTATTATTCTACCCACCCTACTGTATATCACACTGCTGTATATTCACTATACAATTACGATACTATATATTACCTTATACATTATATTAAACATTACACTTTTATACTATTTATTATTATTATACAATCTGCTATACACAGCCCCTCCCCACCCAGCCCCACCCCTCCCATCCCCCACCCAGCCCCACTCTCCCCACCCAGCCTTTCCCCTCCCTTCCCACCCAGTCCCTCCCCACCCTCCCCTCCACACCCAGCCCTTCCCTCCCCACCCAGCCCCTCCCTGCACGACGGACGGACGGACACAATAATCCCCTGTGGGCTGGTGTAACCAGGAGGTTCCTGCCAGTATAAGTGCTGTGTACTGAGTTTATTAACGTAATCTGAGAGCCGTGGTGATGAGGTGGTATTAATTGCAGGGGTGTTATGATGGTGAACAAAAACAGGGGGGGGGATAGCCAACTCATATTGTGTGTCCTGCGGGGCTGGAGTTATTTAGGTTTATAATTCAGCTTTCTGATTGTTGTTGTAACGAGTTATCTTGATGTCCTGAGAGTCTTGGGTTTTTGGGGGGGGGGAGATTTGTCTGGGACTTAGCGGTAAGGCAGGAGCGTTGTACTTTTCTCACAGCCTCCGGTCCCCTGCGGTTGTGGCCAGAGGTGAGGGCGGGTGATGACTGGCCAAGTTTACGAGGCGCTCTCATAGTCCGCATCGTTCGTAGTTGACCCATCACACCCCATGTGCAGCCACTGATTAGGGGGGGGGGGGGCCTGGCTGTCGAGGTGCCCTGGGGTTAAAGTAAACTATACAACTCAGCTCAACACGTGGCAGGCTTTCGCGAGCAATATTCATAAAGGTTCTTGGGTTAGATCGCGTGAGTATGAATGTTGTGTCGTTACCCTCCACCATCGGACACAGCCAGTAAGGTTTGTCGCGTATACAAAACGCGCCAATTAGTTACCACTTCAGTCCACTGGTGTGTTGGAGAATACATCCACAACGATTACAATTTGAGGACGACGTGTCGCTGGTAATTACATCCAGCATCATGCCAGAATGGCAAATTGCCCAATTCTGGCAAAGCGCCCGATGGCAATTACATCCAGATTCCGAACACATTTATACTTATGCGATCTAACCCATAAACCTTTATTATGAATATGAAAACTAAACTATTTTTTATTGTACCAGGTAAGACCCCACTGAGCTATATAGCCCTTTTTCCGAAGCGACCTGGCCACAAAGTGACTTATCACGTGGACATTTATAGCGGCCAAAAACGCATTCATCTAAATGTGGAGGGAAAAACCGGAGGATCCGGAAAAAAATCCACGCGACCACGGGGTGAACATGCAAACACCAGATATACAGCAGCAGGCGTCAGGTTCGGGATTGAACCCATGACTACCTTACTCACGTCAACCTGTATGCCAGGCGAGGTAGTTAACATCTCGCCACCGCGGCACCCCCCACATCCACTATACATGTCGACGCCCCATCTAGACATCTAGACCTTTTGCAAGGGATTTTTGGCCATTCTCAACTCTTTCGGCTTCATCCAGCTTAGGGGCCGTCCATAAATGACGTCAAGCACCTGGGGAGGGGGGGTCAGACATTTGTGACGATGTGTGACGAAGGGGGGGGGGGTTTGAGAAATAAATGTTTTCTCCTAAAACATCAGAGCGCAGCGCCACATTAAATACGGACTACAATGACAATAGTTTAAAGCCATTTGAAGCATGTTTTATTGGGGGGGGGGGGGGGGGGGGCAGAGCTTTGTGACGTCATATTTGAGGGGGGTCTGACTTTTTGTGACGCCGTGTGACTAAGGGAGGGGGGGGGGGTAAAAAATCGTCCAAAATCGCATGACGGCATTTATCTTCTTCTTTAGTGCGGCCTAACGGCGTGTGCGACTTCACGATGATATTGGTCCCGATCTAGCACGGCGTGTAGAGTTTGTGCTGTTGTTAATTGTAGCCATGTTTTGATGTTACTGAGCCATGTCGTTTTTGGCCGTCCTGGTCGTTTTTTCCCTTCGAATTTTCCTTCCAGGATTTGCTTTAATAGCTGGTATTTGTGGTCGTTTCGGGCTATGTGGCCTAGGTAGTAACACTTCCTGCTAATGATGGTCTTCAGCAGTTGCCTGTCAGTGCCCATATCTTGCACAACTTGTGTATTGGTGGTTTTGGCTGTCCATGGGGTTTTCAGCATCCTTCGATACAGCCACGTTTCGAAAGCTTCGAGCCTTTTTGTTGCTGTTGTGTCCACGTCTCTACTCCGTACAGCAAAATTGACCAGATGTAGCATTTTAGTGTGCGCAGTTTCAGTGGTATACTCAAGTTGCGGTCTGCAAGGAGTGTTTTCCTTTAATAAATGCTTGCCTTGCTTGTTCAATTCTGCTCTTGATTTCGACTTCATGGTTCAACTGATCGTCAATGATTACACCAAGGTATTTAAATCGGTGTACTTGTTCCAATTTTTCGCTGCCCAGCTTGATTGTTATTTCGCTTGTAGTTCGGCTGACTTTCATAACCTTTGTTTTCTTTTTATTAATTCGTAAGCCCCATATTTGACTCTCTGTGGCAATCTCGTCCAAGATTTGTTGTAGGTCTTGTTCTGAATCGGCCAGCAGTGCAGTGTCGTCGGCATACCTGATGTTGTTGATGTATTGTCCATTGACTTTAATACCAATGTTTTTATCTGCTAGTGTTCGATCAAAAATCTGCTCCGAGTAGATGTTGAAAAGACTGGGTGAAAGTGGGCAGCCCTGTCGTACACCTTTTTGTATTGGTGTTGGGTCTGTCAATTCGTTGTCATATCGGAGTTGGGCTGTTTGCTTCCAATAAAGAGCAATGATGAAGTTGTCGTTTTTATCTAGTCCCAGTTGTTTTAATAGAGCTGCTAGTCGGTCGTGGTCGACTGAGTCAAAGGCTTTCTCGTAATATATGAAGCAGATGTACACTTCTTTCTGATGTTTGTAGCATCGCTGTAGTAGTATCTGTAGACAGAAGATTGCTTCTCTTGTGCCTAGTCCTTTACAGAAGCCAAACTGTGTGTTCTTCAATGCATTTTCGCATGTGGAGCGTATGCGCTGTTGGATCACCTTCAGGAAGACTTTCAGCACGTGGCTCATCAAGCTTATCAAGCTTACCCCCCCCCCCCTTAGTCACAAAATCGCATGACGTCATTTATGGACGGCCCCTTATCCAAATGCCCACTCACTCTGGCGGACTCACTTTAGCCCCGGCGTGCTCTCGCAGCGGTTTCAACAATTTAACCGACTGTCATGGATCCAGGGTTTTCTTTTATCATTCACTGGTTCTCGTTAATGTCCCTCTGCCCCTCCTGCTCTGTCCACTAAGCACAGCATTTCATTCTGCAAAATTACTTCCCATTCCCCTGACGTCTATCAGAGAAGTCCCGTCCCATTCTCCCCTTGCTCACGAGTGCCACTTCCCTGCTGACTCGGCTCCTCTGTTCTCTCAAACATCTTTGTTCATCCGGCTCCCCTCCGAACTCGTTGGATCTCCTCCAGGGCCGGATTAAGGTTCTTGTAGGCCCTATGCACTTCCGTTTCGTAGGCCTTGTTGAGTGATAACTTTACACAGTCGGTGCTGCTGCTGCCCCATGGTTACTTCCACCGCAGTCACTCGCTTGCTTCACGCGAACTTCAAATTGTGAATGGAAGCGTTCCTTTTCGAGGCTAAAATTGATTTAAAAAAAACTGTCTCCGATCAATCATAGGACAACAACAATGCCGCTTTGTTTTCCCTTCCACTACTGTCTATTGAGAATGAGATTGTGTGATAAACACCATTTAAAGATGTAATTGATCATTTTAGAATTTTAAAAAAATGTCAAAAGGTTCAACTGCAGTGTTCATTTCTCTCACCTTATGAAGGGGACTAGAGGTCACAAGGGGTAATGACAGGTTAAGGGACAGACAGGGGAATGATCTAGCGTCTTCGGGGTCGTCGCTGTCAAGTGGACGTATCTTCAATAAAAGAACCCTCACAAGACCGCGTCTCTGGAGTCGTTACACAAATGTAAATATTATTATTGATAAAAAAGATAAGAATAGGTTTAACCTTTTTTGGCAATAAAGCAGGTTTAACATGTTCAAACACCAAATAGATACCTTTTTCAAGGTATCAAATCGGCATTAACCTACTTGTCTTTGAAACCGATTGGCCTGATACAGGCGAAAAAGATCCCATAGATATTATTTTAATCATTATAAGAGTGTGCAGGTGGTGGAACTAAACAAGGGGGCACCAGGTGGCGGAGGGACCCAGGCACAGGAGATGCTCCATTTCAATCGTTGCACCTGGGCCAAATGCAATCCACATTGCCACTGGAGATGAGGCTTTTCATTGTCTACGTCGTGCACACTTAAGCGGTGTGCTTTCGCTAAGTTTTCCCCACCCCAAGAAGGACGTTTGTGTTGCGCCCGAAACGTCGTGATTAAATTCATTTAAATTTTTTACCTACGTGACTTTACCGAAAAAACCAAAGAGTATGAATCCTTGCAGTCACGAAAACTTCAAATCTAGAAATCGTGCACCCAATTCTGACGGAAAGGACAGTCATTGCGTACAAGAGTTACCGGTCCTATATATGATATAGACGCCCACAATTGGAAGAATTAAGTGCGACCCTTGAGAACATGTTAACTGACAACTTTATTGTAATTCAAACGAGAACAACAACAAAAAACAAAGCCACACTCCTGTAGCAATGAAGCCTTTAAACTGCAAGAGGCCATTTCATGTAAGAAGTTAATCTGTTCAATGCGCTGTAACGTTATATGGTCCCAACAGGTTTCTCTCTCAATGCTGCATCTTGGAGCTGCAGCGGGGAATAAAAAAGTGTCAATGTTGTAACAAAGCATACTGGACAATACAATTAAGTACTTTAATGTAGATGTATAACACGACTTAAAGAGATAAGGCAAGGGCTCACCTGATAATAGAGCATCGGGAAATCAAATCTTTGGATGTGTAAACTGAGGAAAGAATGGAATCCCTTCTCCATCAGTCATGCTAGCCAATGAGTATACCCAACTATAATGTTCGTGATCGCATATAATTATTTATAGATGAGTAAAAATGTAACATTGTATGAAACAACAAACCTGAATATGTGTCTTGGCCTGGCTGGATGATACGTTTGTACCTGTTGAAACGTAATATCTGAGTAAGATTTATAGTAAAAACTTCAATGTCTCGATACATTTTCACATGGTAAAAAATTAACCCGTAAAAACAAAGTTTTTCACTATAAATCCTTTATATACGTGGCGGCTAGAGTCCTCTCGTCCTCTGGCTTGAGATGGCTGCCACCTATGGGTCATATGATTGCCTGCCACCATTAAGCAATTGGTAATTAAATATAATTTCTTTTTTCCTAAAAAGTGTAAAATTTTGGAAAAAAAATTCACGAAAATAAATTGTCACACACAACGAGTCTGTGTGCAAAATGTCAGCTCGATTGGATCACGGGAAGTGGGTTAAAAAACGACCGAAAGATTTGCACGTTCGTAAGCACGCAAGCAAGCAAGCAAGTGAACTTAATATAAAGGATTTAAAAAAAGAATGAGATCCAACAGTGTTTGGAGGGTTAGTACGTAATTTCATTGCCATAATGTGGCTTTGCTTTGAACCACATCTGAACGTGGCACGGCAGGTGCAACCACCCATTAAATCGCTGGAAGATTAAAACCAGCTGACATTGAATCAACTGAACTGAACAATTTTTTTATTTTACCTGGTAAGGCCCACTAAGCTATATTGCTCTTTTTCAGAAGCAACTTGGTAACAAATGGTAGCTTAACAAAGTGGCTTATCACATGAAACATTTATTTAGCTAAATACTCTGAACGGATCTTTTTAAATGTGGAGGGGAAAACCGGAGGACAAGGAGAAACATCCACGGGTCCCCGGGGAGAACATGCAAACTCCAAATATACAAGCGTCAGTGTCGGAATAGAACCCGCGACCTCCTGCATACCAGACGAGGTACTGAACATCTCGCCCCCGTGGCTATCAAGCCTAAACGTGGAACACCCTCGTCCAAAAATGCCAGAATTGCTCATTCCCTGGCAGCATGATCAAGACAAATGGCAACATCACTTGCGTAGCCCCCAACTGGCCCACCAACCCCAACATAGGCGTAAAATGTTTGCTCTGTACTTGGCCATACGAAAGATGAATGTCAATCCCCTTCAGAGATCATCACATTCTCAAACCTCAAAGGCTAATCAATAACATCGATAGGTATGTATTACACTACTTATCCTATATGATTCACCAAAACAAAAATCGATTATGTTCAATTTAAGAATCAATATTTTTGAAAAAATAGTCACATGGTCTGCTGCCTTATGTATTATTTTAACATCCTAAAAGTAAATGAGCCTATAATTAGCATTTAATTGACACTTGCCTACTAAATTGTAAACATTCTGTTTCAATCCACTACTGGATGAAATCCTCACCACATGCTGGTCAATGTGGGTTGAGCGGCGGTGCTCAGGACCAGTTCAGACGTCGCTCGCGAACGACTTTAGCCACGGGCAGAAATTCAAATCTAGTAGCCAGCATCATGCTGTGGTTCGCAAAACCACTGCACGCTGCTCCGCCACTGCCTACTAGATTGAGACATTCAGACTTCAGTGTTACCCCTGGGGAGCCATAATGCGGCAGATCTCTGAAAGCTACGGAGAGCTGAGCCTTGACAGTGCATGAAATGCATGACTACCATGCGCGACAGGTGTTATAGGCATATATCGCTGCGGGGCAGTGTAGCAAAATCCATGCCGTACATCTATACGCATCTACGTCTGTGCTCCTCTGCTTCACGAACCCACCGCTGAAATGCGAAATGACCCTGGCAACCAGCACGGCGTTGGGGGGAGGCGCCAGTCCAAACGGTGGCTTCACAAGAATGGGCCGCACGCGCACGTCACGTCGCCTCTTGGATCACGATGGCACCCACCGTGTAACATCGTAAGAGCGCACGGCAACAGCGCACACACCTGTGAAGCGAGACGAGGACACGCCGTGCATCTGCCGAGTGCTGGGCGATGCCAACGGCGTCTGGAAGGTCGGGGGATAGTTGCTCTTTGCAATCCTCCTGAACTGCGAGCCCTCAGGCCTGCCCTGGCTGCTCGACCAGTCGGAAGAACACACTGGACCTGAACACATTCCTGGGTGTCTTCCGAGCCTGCAATGTTAACCACATGTGAAAGTAAAATGTTAAAAACTACAAAGTGTTTTTTTTTTATTTCACCAGGTAAGGCCCACAGAGCTACGTATCTCTTTTGTCAGAAGCGATCTGGCCACAAATGATAAGCTCAACGAAGTGGCATATCTCGTGGAAATGTATATCTGCCAAATACTGTAAATGCGTGATGTTGATTCTAAATGTGGAGGGAAAAACCAGAGGACCTGGAGTAAAATCCACGCGACCACGAGAAGAGAGAGACATGCAAACTCTAAATATACAGCAGGCATCAGGGTCGGGATCGAACCCACGACCTCCTGCATACCAAGCGAGGTAGTTAACATCTCCTAGCGACCATGGCGCTTCACAGACGGATCTTGCACGCACACTCGGATTGTTTCTCGCGATTTCCAACGTGTGTTTTCAAGAGTGTTCCAATGGTAATGTTAGCTTCATCGAGCCGCAATAATTAGACGACGTTCATCGTCTTGGCCGGCAAGCCGAATCCTTTTAACGCTGGTTTGGGTCTCGGCAAGTTTTGTGCAACCCCTTTAATCAATGTGGCTCGGTTTTAACTCGGGTAATTCCCTCATAGCAAGACAATGTTACATTGACATTTAATTCACGTTGGATAATTTCTGAGAGTTGTGACAGAGGCAACGCACTCACCGTCTCAACCTGAGTTGGAAAGTGTTTAAAAAGCCTGTGAAGCCTATCAAGCTTAGTCCCAAGCGTCTTCTTAAAGCAGGGGCTCAGGAACCTTTTCCCTACTGAGGGCTGAATCAGACTTTCAAAAAACCTTTGGCAGGTGACACGTTAACACAAATTCACTTCCGTCACTGCAAGGGCCTTTCGCAGTAACAGAAGTCGCTTGAGATTGCCCAATGTCATAACTTCCCGATTTACTTGGGAGTGCGACGAGTCGCATCTTTGACCGAGCTTACGCCATTCCTATGGTACCGAAAGTAATTCTCGTCTCTGGATCCTGTTTTAGATCGTTGTGGGCACTGTGCCCTGTTTATTTCTTGAAGGAAGTAGTGGTGTATATATATTTTTTATAAATAAACTTGCATGATGTGGTCTTGAGTGGTGGAGTCAAAACAAAGGAATATTTCAATCGTGTTATGTTTCGATTCGTTTCGACTTGAATACATGTGGTGACACAGCGCCGACTGCTGTACAGCAGCAGCAACTGCAGGTGGACACAGCGCACACGCCGTTGAGCATATACACGGGTGTACCGGCACGGCGGAGGAACTGGGACAAGGGTCACTGTAGACCTTATACGGAGGCCCCTGGAACCCTCTGGTGGGGCGCGGCGAGGGCGGAGCCAAGCCACGCCGAGGGGAATAAAAGCAGCGGAGAGCGAGAGCTTCGGGCTGTCGGTTCTGGGAGTGGACTCGTCTCGTCGTCACTGTCGCCGTCGCCGCCTTCGTCGCTGCCGCCTTCGCCCGATCATTACGCGGCCGGACAGTAGTTGGCTGTCTCGGTCGTTGCCGTCGGTGCAACGCGGATAGGGTCGTGTCTGGGCCGGGCAGTAGGGCAGCATGGTCGCGAGAGAGGGGGCCGGAGTTGGTAGAGTTGAACGAGATAATAAAGAGAGACGGTGCCTCCAGCAACCATCACGTCTCCGACGGAGTGTGTGCGCCGCACGCCATACGCGTGCCTCGGGAAAGGAGGACACTGCATATGTATGAGACAAAGAATAATATATTACCTCATCGTGCTTTGACTTTGCATTTGAGATGGTGTTCCTGTCAAATAGATAAAATAATTACAGTTAACAAAACTTAAATATTTCGGTGTTGAAAGTGAATCATTTTACAGCCATTTTTAAATCCACTGCTGGATGAAGGGCTGGTCAATGCGGGTTTAAGGCAGGGAGTATAATCATGGAAGTATAGAAGTATATAACAGTAGATTTTGCTACATGGTCCTTTTCAAATCATGACAAAGCACAGGCCCTTAGCCGCCTATGACAACCAGGAATGCATGGTGGTCACCTAACCAAGCACATTCCAGGATTAAGTCTGCCTTAGCTTCTGGGATGTGACGATATCTGGATAATACCAGGGTACTTTAGTCAGAGGCCTCAAGAGGCAGCATTGACATTTTAATGTACCAATCTAGTCGGCGAGCAGTGGAGCGGTGGTACTGGTGCAGTGGATATTGAACTGCTTCATGAAGTCAGTGACCTGCGTTCAGCTGTTCTTAATTCGTTTGGCTTATGTCGTGCAAATATTATGACAGTTTAAAGTGATTTAGCCATTGAGGTATTTTGAGTTATTTCATGTTTAAGTGTGCTAAGCCTCACCCATCTTGCCCTGTGCTGGAGGGTTCCTCATCGATACTCGGCAAGACCCTGAAGGTGTCTGTGGCGTGGATAGCATGGCATTCTGCCAAACAATGTCGGGCTGACCATCAACACAGCACTATTCACTCGGATATGAATGGACCAAAAAAAGTGGTCAACGAAATATACATTCCATTGAATCAGCACATTTATAATCAAACTTTGATGTATTTATATGGGAAAAAATTAAAGAAAAGTGTTGAGTTTCTTGAGAGGCGTACCGGTGAAGGCCTAGCCCGTGTTCCCTTGACACTACCACAGTTTCCTCCTTCAGGACTGGGAGAGTGCAAACGGAGTTTAGTTATTTAACACCATAGTCTTTGAAAGACTGAACATTCTTTTGATAATTCTTTAATCAGGAGTGGCCAAAACGGTTTAGCTGATATCACAAAATTTTCTTGACCTGCTTAAGTGTCAGACTTCTAATGATAATAATTAACATTTATTTGGAAGGCACCTTCCACTAATGTCTCAAGGCACCCTAATACATTGAGAGCAGTGTCTTTCAATGATGCATGTGCATACAAAAGTGGAAGAAACTAACACAATTAAAATGTTTACTTTTCTCCGGTGGTAAATCCATGCTGGCCTCTTGGTAATGCTTATTTATCGAACAGCAGTCCAAAGTCAAGTACACGAATAACATGTTGTACCAAAAGGATACTTTAAATATATAGTTTTTCCCAATATTTATTGTGCAACTGGTGTCATGTCATGAGATGAATGTGGATCTTTTGGAGAGTACAACCCTTTATGTTGGAGAACAGCCCACATAAGTGGATAACAGAGCACCTTCTGAATTCTCTGCCAGTAACCTCTGGTCCGCAGAGTAAGGGGGCAGCACTTTCCCATCCGGCCTCCCACCGAGAACAATGTTCATCAGATGACAGTAAAACCGATATTGTTAATCCTCAGCGCTGGAATTTAGTCCAATTAAGTGCAGGACCAAGTTGGAATGCGATGATCTTTGTGCGCGGTCATTTGTAATCGGGCTTAGACCATCAACTCATTACACTTGTGAACCTAGTTTAATCACACCTGGCGTGCCTGGATTTAAACTAATTTTTTCAGTGGCGCCAGCTCATCGCACTAACCTCAGTCATCCGGTCATCTCAGAGGTCATTGACTATTATTATTAGTGTCAACATATTATCTTTCGTGGCTCAGGGGGAAATGAACACAGATATGAACTGCAGTGACCGTAGCTGACGAGAAATCAAGTACTTAAAAGCAAAGCCATGTGTGAACAACTCACGTGTTTGAGAAGGATCTTTTATTCCGACAAAATGGAGACACAGCACCGTGACTGTGTTGAGGTGTCGCTGAAAATGAAGACATTTTCACCATTTTGGTTAAGGCTGAAGCCAAATTATCTCTCTTTCAAACTAATGTTCACAACAAGGTATCTTCACTAATTATATTGATTTGAAGCTTTCGTGACTGCAGGAATCCATACTCTTTGGTTCTTTCGGTAAAGTCACGTAGGTATAAAATAAAATAAATCACGACGTTTCGGGCGAAACACATCAGGTGGGAACGCTCACCTGATGACGGACGCTTGTGTTGCGCCCGAAACGTCGTGATTTATTTTATATCTACGTGACTTTACCGAAAGAACCAAAGAGTACTAATTATATTGTTCATGATGGTGATTTAATACGTGGGCTGCTTTCACGACTAATATTTTGTTTCATAATTGATTTTGGGTCAAAGTGCATGAGTGAAACACCAATTGTGTGGTACACCCTCCACCCAACACAGCCAAATAGATTTTTTTTTACCCTCCCTTTTGGAGGCATGCTGATACATCACATCAGTCCCAAGGCGAAAGGGGATGATAATGCTGTTTGGCATTTGAATAATGCTGGTTTCAACTGTCAGCGAGACATCGTAGCTAATTGTTAAAAGTTTGTAGACTGCTCATCAACATATCAACATGCTAAAGCAATAATACATTGGTGCGTTTGTTCACGTTACAACTTTGTTCGGTTGTGATCTGACCCAAAACTCAATTGTGAATGAATAAAAAAACTACACCACTGAGAGAAACTGATCGGTGAAGGTGGAGAGTAAAAATACAAGGGCACAGAAGTACTGTAGAGTACAACAATGGACTATGCTGGTCTGCCCTCTGCTGCCAACCAGTTCATTCAAGCGTGTCATGGGATGCCGACTACAGTATTTTAGATTCTTGGTTCTTTCGGTAAAGTAACGTAGAAGGGAAATAATAAAATAATAAAAGTATAAAACAATAAAATTCTCACGACGTTTCGACTGCAACACAATTTTATTGTTTTATAATTTTATTATTTCCCTTCTACGTGACTTTACCGAAAGAACCAAGAATATGAATCCCTGCAGTCACGAAAGCTTTAAATCTAAATACAGTATTTCACTTGACTAATCATGCTACTTACCAAGCCCTGGCATAGCAGATGGTGTAAAACTGCGTGGTCTGTTTCCTGTTGTATTCAAGCTGAAACACAAATATATAAAGTTAAAGGAGAATACGGTATATCTTCTTTCATATGGTGGGGAGCTCAAGTTGATTTTTGTTTAACCAGGTGAGAACTCAAGAGAACAGGGAAGTTGTAATTCGCAAGAATGACCTGGATCACAAATAAAAATGAAAAGCAAAAACAACTATAACACAAGGAATCGCAAGTTTGCTTGGGCATTCATTTTATACCAGTCACTAACTAGCAGTGACTCTAGGGGGCCCTCTGCTGGCCACGGGGCCCTTTGCAATTGCAAGGGTCGCTTAGTGGCTTCGCCGGCTCTGCTTAAACTTTACGGATGGGAAAACGGAATAGCCTATTCCCACCGCGGCGCTTAGGGCGTGCCGCCCGGCAAATTTTTTTCTACGTTAAGGCCACCGTCCGAGAGCCAAATCCCCCGCAAGCGCGAGTGCGCGGAGACTTTTATATATAAGAAAAGATAGTACAATTACCAAAGCTACAGAAACATTAAACAGACATAAAGGGACCATTGTACCTACATGTGAACAGACAAGGATATGTGTCAACTGGAGAGTTGATCTGCAATGTTTATTTGTTAATATTGAGGTTGGTGATTGAGCCATTAGGATTGCTCCAGAAGTAGCGCGGTAATTATCCGAAATTCTGCCATTTGCTGGTATAAGCGGGCGGTAGAATTACGATGCAGTCTATAGTTTTAGATTGGTGACCACCATCACACTTTGGGCTACTCTTTATTGTCCACTGCTGTAGGAAATAGCTCCGTCTGCCGTGTAATGTATATTTAAAAATAAAACGAACATTCACAAGGGTGTTTCAATTAGAGACAAGTTATATTTCAGGGAGTATACGTTGGCATCCACGTGACGGAGTATTTCCCCACATCATCATCAGCCAATATCAATTCACTGTCGAATTAAAACCTTTCCACGCCATGCCCCATGGGCCTGCACTACCACAATGCATCCTACTGATATACGCGTGATATCTTAACTGGTCTTAAAACACCACAATTCTCCCACACTGATCATTTTGAAGTATGGTAAAAAAAACCTCCATGGCCAGTACAAGGTGAGGAGGCCTTCATCTAGCAGTGTTAAGAAAGGACAACATTTATTAATTATATTGGTGCCTATAATAAATTGTATTTAACATAGGGCAATATGTATCAAGATACCATTGTACAATTACATATTAATAAATAATCACAATTTGGATATAAAAACCAACAAGGTATTTTGCATAATGATTATTGAGAAATTACATTTGCAAGTGCAAAAAGTTATTAGAAACCAGTTTGAACATTATAAATAATGTTATTTGGGAAATTGCAGCTTGCACGGTCATTCCAAAGGTGTGACTTGTAAAATTCATACCAACCTTAAACCATACATTGCAGGGGAACCCTAAAAAAATCAGAAGATTCAGAATTAGAATGTGTCACTTTACACTTTACCAAATGAATGCATGTAAACCTATTAATACATTGCAATAAATGTTGCGATTGTAATGGTGCTTACTCTTGCCATTTGTGCGGCATTTCTCAGCTCTGCATTCTCTCTCCTAAGCATGGCACATTCCCTAACACACAAAGTTTAAGGCATATGGTGGTGTTTGTTAATTTGGCACCAGTCATTAATACATGTGTTTAATGTGCGCTATGCATGAAATGATGCATCAATTCACCAATTAAAACGACTTATTGCATCCCCAAATACATGCATACAATTTCGGATTTATTTATATTTTATGCAAACGTTATAGATGTATGTTCAACTTCTTTCACAACGTACGTAGCCAACCGTGCTAATTAGAGGTATGAGGAAGGATAACAAACTAAATACAAAAGTGTTATGACAATTATCTAACATTACACTTAGCCTAATGGAAAAAACAAACAAACTAAACATATAAGACACAAAAAAATACAAATTCAGGTAAAAAGAGACCGCATCATAATTTAATTCAAACAGGGGTGGGCCACCGATAGTGCATTGGCCATATCTGGCCCATGATTTAATGTTGTATGGCCTACGGCTACGAGGCCTATCACTTTGAAAAGGCCCACAAAACATTATTTGTTCATCGCTGCATCTTGCGGACACTAATGTGATACTAGAGGGGAATATTTTAACCTGTTCACAGCGGTTGTGATTATAATTTCATTGAGCTCAGCCTCTTTTGTTACTGTGGCATAGGTGATCCCGAATTATTTATGTTGTATCATTGGATAACGTTAACACGTGTATCACTGTGTAATCCACCAAAGGTATTTAAGTCCTATTCGACCCTCGGTAAGGAAAATGTTCCTCGCCCGTTTTAGTATAGTAGAACCTCGGAGATCGAACGCACCAGAACTCGAACAAATCTGTGTTCGAACGATATTTCCGAACATTTTTTGCCCCGGAAACCGAACGAAATTCGGAGGTCGAACGGGCAATCGCGACTTGAAAGAACCTGTACACAGCTGAGATGCGTATGGCCAGCGTCATGATGCTTGCCCAGACAAAGTTTTTACCGTGTGAGAGGCTCAGTTAACACGTAACTCTCACCCGGGTGCAGACTCGCAAAACATCGTTCCTTAACTTTTTCGTAAATTTCCTTTATTTTAGTGTTTTTTGGTGTTCATCCATACACAATGTCTCCTAAGAAGGTTAGTGGTAGTGATAGGCCAATGATAATGCAATGTGTCATTTTCGAAACATCCTAAAACGGAGGCAGAAACAAACCTCTTTAGATAAGTTTTTAGTCAGAAAGAGCTCAAGTGACTCACAGTTAGCGGCAGAAAAGAGGCACAAAAGAGAAAAAACCCCAGAAGGGCAGTTACCCGACGTTATTATGGAAGGGGACTCCCCTTCCAAACAATAACACCACCACCTCCTCACCACCTTTCACTCAAGCCATCAACTCTCCTTACTATAGGTAAAGTGAAGTTCAATGTTCATTTATTACATATGTTTATTGCTTTTTAATGATTTCATGCATTTAATTACTGTAAACGTCGTGTAAAAATGCTTTATAGAGATATTTCTTGTGTCTGGAACCAATTAATGTCATTTACATTAATTCTCATGGGGAAAATTAATTCGGTGTTCAAAGAAATCGGTGTTCGAATGGCCTTCTGGAACGTATTAAGTTCGATCTCCGGGGTACCACTGTACTTTTACGACCACTCGTCAGTACAGGTCTATGCAAAGACGCCGCCTTCGTTAGTCGTAATACGCATCTCATGATGCTATGGCTGCAAAGTGTGGTCGTACAGGTTATGTATATCGTTTATTGTTAAATGGCAATCACAGTTCCTATGATCCCTGTTACATTGTTTTTATAGCTTTATTTTGGTGATTTCGAAAATGTTCTGGTTTAGCAAAATGTGTTTGTTGTAGTACAGAATTAGACTGATAACTTTAATCTAAATTGTCTTATGGTGGTTATTGTTTGACTTGCATCCAACTGGGATTTTTGCACACATCGTTGATATACGGTGCTTTTTCTGGAAGACTTTGCCGTTTTTTTCCTGGATTTTTCTGTTGCGCGTAGTCACTTTAAGATGTTTCTTGTTCATGTTTTTGTTTGTTGCGGTTGCACCCGATTCAAGAGCCGAATGGCTCACAGGGCTATACCTAATAAGTGAACTGAACTGCTAATGTAATGTTCATTGTAGTGTGTGCTTAAAGGATGCAGTTACTTCACAAGTAAGTTGGCAACTCTGTTTCACTGACACGAAGGTGATGTACTGCTTACCTTCCCATTTCCTGTATTTTATTGGTCATTTGCGTTTGTGCCAATTCCAGTCTTGACATCTGAAGAAACACCCACTGTCCTGGTTACGCATTTTGCTTTACATCAGAGATGTAAAGTAGTGTTACACCCGTGTCGGATTATGCGGTTATGCTGTATAGCTCACTAGTGTGTTTTCAGGTTGTATTGCGTTTGTTCAACCATGGCATCCGACATTTCAGTTCCTGAAGAAGTTTCCGGCATGTGGAGCGAAACGTCGAACACCATGCTGAACAACGCGCGGCACAACACAAAAGCACGTCGGAGAGCTGTATGTAACAATAGGGTATTTTTTTATTTAAACAAAGTCAATGTTACCTTCTGTTTTTGGTGAATGAAAAGTTTACACCTTTGAGTTTTCTGAAATGCCATTATCTACATGTAAAAAACAAGAACATGTTCAAGGTGGTTTAATATTTACGAGCTTGTGGAGAATCAAGCATGCTTCACGCACAAAAGTGCACGCAGTGACACGTCACACACCGCCTGCCATTACTCGCGTGCGGCAACAAGTATCAACTCAACAGTCGTTTTTTGTTGTTGTTGTTGTCAGACCTCTTGAAAAGATGACATTCATCCAAGGTTGGTTGCCGGCTCTTAAAAGTCAAACAAAGTGGGTGGGGTAGAACAGCTGGCTACCCAACTTTTATACAATGGGATGGAAGCCAATCGCTTATGTCCCCTCAACCAGTTTAGTTCGCCCCACAAGCTTACTCAACATGGGGCCCCCATGGATATCGCCGTCCACCGCAATCTCACAATCATTCCCCACCCCTCCCCTACATGGTATTTTTAAAATGTATATTCATACTTGCGTAACTTGTATCAGACATGTTTTGACTGTGTCTGCTGGGTCCATAAAAAACAATCTTTCTTTTTCTGCCATCTGTTTAGAGAAAAAAAATACGATGATTAACAGACGCATTTATAAGTAAAATCTATACAGTTTAATAGAGCTTTATAAAGTATGTAAACGCATCATGTAATGTATTATCATCCATTTAACTTATATATTAACTGTTAACTACTTCGTGCAATGCATTAACATGTTTTAAGTACATATTTACTCATTAGCAGTTACACTTACAAAAAAATGTATACCATACAGTATGGATTTATAAAGCGTTGAAATATATAAATCAGTGTATTATAATTTTTTAAAAAATAAAATATATATCATACTCCGTATTTTCACCAAGTTGTCTTTGTCATCACTACCTCTTTTTCTTAAACATGAGCACCAGGGATACAAAGGCGGCTGGGTAAGGTGTTAGCCAGACTACCCCTTCGTGTGCTGTATCAACCTTTATTTGGGTACTTGCTAACAGGACCTGCCCCAACCAGAGATTAAACAAGCGATCTTTGTTGTGTTTGTATGGCTGTGCATTTATTTTCATCAATTACCTTGTTAGAGACAAGAATTTTTTTGCAAGCTGCGTCACAGATGCCGCATTTGTCCACTGTAACTGCAAAATTGAAAATAAATGCGAGCTTAATGCATGTACACATTTTATAACACTTAATCTGTCACCCTTGCAAAACGGGCAATGTTGCTTCATGTACCTGAATGGGTTTACTTACTCTCTTGGCTAAAGGAGAATCTTTCTTAAAATTAATATAAGCAGCAAAAACAATGATTATTAGTTATGCGCTGTGGCAAATAGGGGTTTAACAATTAACCCTCACAGCAATTCAATAAGTGTTTGAGATTCAAATAAATCCTCTTATAGATTTGTATTTATTGGTAAACGTGATTCATTGGATCTATGCATTGAAAATAAATATTTTGTCACACATGAAATGTGATGCATGGATGAAGAACCTAAGTTCAACTTAAATAAGAACATGTTTTTCTTAACTCTATTTTCCCTCCACATTATCTTGATTGTGCTATCGGTGTAGTAACGAGAATAAAAATTCGTCTAATCTCTCGTAGGGCAGTGCAACCCTGCGTGTTAAGAGAACGGTCCACAGAAGTGGACATCACAGAATTACTTCTGACATCCAATCAGAGGATGTCGTCTTCTTTGTTGCTCTGCCTTAATGGCAGGTCCTGGGCTCCCATGGTCTCCAACCCTTCTCTGTTTTCTGCTTGTCATTTCCACGTATCGTCATTATTTTAGCTCCTCCAACAAACAAACAAACGCTTGGCCGTCCTCTTAAGTTACCCTGCCCTTCTTGTGTTATATCATTCATTAAACTATTCCCTTGTAGAATGTGTCCAATACAGTTTCTTATTTCTCCTTTCTGATGACCTCCATTATCATTCTCTCTTTGATATTCAAGATTCATTAATTGGTCTTTATAGAGGATTTTATAAAAAAAAATATCGAAGTTAACACATTGTCATATAAATTATGATTTAAATTTGTATTACATGTTTAATATTGATAAAAAAATGTGCTGTATTACAGGTGGCTTAGTGGTAATAAGCGGCTCGCAATAGAAAGGAGTTCCAATCCGGGGTTGGCGGTTGACTACCATTCCTCCAGCAATGATAAAAAGAGTACCACTTTGTGGAGTAATACAAATGTATACACTGTCATACATTTTGACAACCCTTAGTACGTTTCTATGAATAAACACATGTCATGAGCAAAACCTTTGCTGTTGCAGTTATGACAGATGATGTGCCCACAGTTGGCGAGAATAAAACTGCAGCCATTGGGCTCTGGTTGCAGGAAGCAGACGTTGCAGTGGACCCAGTCTGCCATGATTGGACCCAATAACTCCAAGCACACAGGGGCTGTGAAGGAGCAACAACAGCATTACGCACACAGCAGCAGAAACAAATTTATATTGATGACAAGTTGGAGTACGCCGCCCCCTACCGTTGTTGCAGGCGTAAGTAGGCATTGAGGGAAGGGAACAGCTTGACAGTTAAATTTCGATTTAAAGCTTTCGTGACTGCAGGGATTCATCTTCTTGGTTCTTTCGGTAAAGTCACGTAGAAGGGAAGTAATAAAATAATAAAAATAACGTCGTGAGAATTGTTTTATTATGTTTTATTTTTATTATTTTATTACTTCCCTTCTACGTGACTTTACCGAAAGAACCAAGAAGCTTGACAGTTGTTTCCAGTTCAATTAATTATATTAATCTGACCTAAGGACCGAGTCATTTCCCACATCATTTGTTCTGTTCCGATACTTGGATTGAAAATCGAGCCGTAAACATAACATTTATGTGCTATGAAGGAGCATTGCCTGACATGCCGCATATATATTTAACTTTTAAGGCCACAGTGTTATTGACAAATGTTGGTGAGTTATTGTTATCTGTGCTTGTACAACATTTTCAACAAACTAACGTAAAATAATATCATAATTGGACCTTCTTTGCCAGTACCAAAATTTAATAATAGGGGTTTCCCCCTTTTTTCTGGCAACAAAACTGAAACCTTTTTTACAAGGATTCATGTCTACATTAACCACAATACTTGCAGTCAAGATGCAAAAAAAACACACTGATATTATATGCATTGTCCTTGAAACTGATTAGTCCACACCAGAGACAGCTTTCTTTAGAGCCTCGTCTCAATTGGTGCTAGACCAGATGACGCCAAAAGGCGTACAGCTCAAAGACAATGCACTATCAAAGTAATGAGGGCTCGGGGTAAGCATCTACATCATTATTATCTTAAAATAACTTTTAAACTTGCTCTTTAATCCCTCCCCTGGATGGGTTTTGTATCTATTTAAACCTATTAATATGATAAACAACGCTAATTCCCATGTCTCTCTACAAAAAAACAAGTATTTTTTACACAACCCATGGCCTTCCAGGAGGTATCTCATCAGCAGCATCGTTTGTATACAAGCAAACTCTGGACCGATTTCAACATTCAGAGTTTCGTCAGCAGTCAGACCTGCTTGAGATAACACTAAACCTATTAAGACTTGTCGCAACAATGTTGCTCATTGTGTGGGAAGTCAAAGTGGCCGTTCTATGACGAGACCAGGCTATTTTAGGAACGTGGAATTTCCACCAGTGGCTTAGCACCAGCAAAAAAGTATGAACACCATCCAATCATAATTAAGCTTTCAGTAGTCAATTATTAAGCTAAAATAATATTCAGTATAACCAGAACTTAGTTATGTATCTCCACAAGTAAATCAAACAAATCAGCCAATCAGCTAACTTTTAGATAAATTGTACAGATAATTCTCCACAATAAGGTGTTTAGTAACTGTAATATATTTTAAAACCCTTATATACAATATTGGGCGCACCATCGTTCGTTTGCATGGGAGTAATCTTTCCAAACATCTGGTAAACAGCAGCAGTGTTCGTGTAATAAGCCTGGCTTTGCTGATGAGACCCAAAATAGTCGAAACATACCATTGGTACCTCATTTGCCAGTAAAAAATATGATAATTATTGTTTTTTTACCCTTTTATCTGGCAACAAAACTGACACCTTTTTTACGAGGAGTCATGTTTGCATAGACCACAATACCTGCAGTCATAATGCAAACAAAAAACATAACTCTGATAATGTATGCACTGTCCTTGAAGTTGATTGGTCCACACCCGAGACAGCTTTCCTTAGAGCCTAGTCTCACATGGGTTGGACCAGATGACGCCAAAAGATGGACCAATCAACTTCAAGGACAGTGCATACATTATCAGAGTTATGTTTTTTGTTTGCATTATGACTGCAGGTATTGTGGTCTATGCAAGCATGACTCCTCGTAAAAAAGGTGTCAGTTTTGTTGCCAGATAAAAGGGTAAAAAAATTAACCCGTAAAAATAAAGTTTTTCATTATAAATCCTTTATATGTAAGATCACCTCTTGACATGCCCCATATATTCCCGATGGCACTAGCGTTGACCCGTTTTACCACTTTCATGAACCTGGCGGCTTCAATTTAACTGCTCTATAAATAGTCTCCATTGTACAGCGTGGGGGCAAGGATTTCACGCCATGTGGTTAGTCAACATTTGCGTCATCATGAAACGGGCGGCTTGAGTCCTCTCGTCCTCTGTCTTGAGATGGCTGCCACCTATGGGTCAGATGATTGCCTGGCACCATTAAGCAATTGTTAATTCAATATTTTTTTTTCCCTAAACAGTGTAAAATTTTAGAAATTTTTTTTAACGAAAATTAATTGTCACGCACAACGAGTCTGTGTGGAAAATGTCAGCTCGATTGGATCACGGGAAGTGGGTTAAAAAACGACCGAAAGATTTGCACGGTCGTAAGCAAGCAAGCAAGTGAACTTAATATAAAGGATTTAATAAGTATAACCCGTAAAAACAAAGTTTTTCACTCTAAATCCTTTATATGCGGGGCGGCTAGAGTCCTCTCGTCCTCTGGCTTGAGATGGCTGCCACCTATGGGTCAGATGATTGTCTGCAGTATTAAACAATTGGTAATTAAATAATTACAATTTTTTCCCTAAACAGTGTAAAATTTTGGAAAAACATTTTCACGAACATTAATTGTCTCGCACAACGAGTCTGTGTGCAAAATGTCAGCTTGATTGGATCACGGGAAGTGGGTTAAAAAACGACCGAAAGGTTTGCACGGTCGTAAGCAAGCAAGCAAGCACGTAAGCGAACTTAATATAAAGGATTTAAAAACCAATTATCTTAGTCGAAACATGATCTATATGTTTAACACGTAGGTTTTCACGACTAATATTATCCATAATGGGGGTTTGGGTTAGATAACGTAAATATAAGTGTATCGTTAAACCCGTCACCAAACAATTATTAAGGTTTGTCATGTAAACAGAACATTAAAATTCGTTACTATGTCATCAAACCGGGTGTTACTCCCCAAAACACCGGTGTTGCTGTACTAGTAACGAATTGGCATGTTTACCAGGCGAGGGAGTTAACATCTCACCACCGTGACGCCCAATGTGTTCAGGAGCTAAATTCCTAAGTCGATGTCCGTGTATTTTTGTTCTTGAAGGAGCACAGACGACAAGAGGTTTAACGATGAGGTCCACAGTTTTGGGATGCATGGCCACGTCGCACTGTGACCTGTTTTCAATGTATCTCTGTCTCTATGAGTATGCATCTCTCTTAATGTCTACGAGTCTCTGTATCTCACTATCTATGTGTTTCTATGTAAACCCAAAACATATATTCATAATCAACGTTTTTGGGTTTAGATCGCGTTTATTTATAAATGTGTCGTAACCCTCCACCACCCGACACGGCCAATCAGTAAAAAAGTGTCACGTTGACAAAGACAAATAGTTCACTGCTTTAGCCCACCGGTGTGTTGAAGCCACAACATTTACAATTTGAGTACGACGTTTCGCTGGTAATTGCAACCAGCATCATCGGGCAATTCGCGATCTAAACCCAAAAACGTTGATTATGAATAACATTGGTCGCGAAAGCCTACGTGTTAAATTAACCAAAACATATAGTAAACCCACGGAGATACTAAGAGATGTAGAAATACAAAGAGATGCATTAAAGACCACAGTGCAACTGTGGTCCCGCAACTCAAACTATGGACAATGTAATTCTAAATTTGAAGCTTTCGTGACTGCAAGGATTCATACTCTTAGGTTTTTTTTCGGTAAAGTCACGTAGGTAAAAATAAATAATAAAATTCAATATTTTTTCTATTATTTTTATTTTTTACCTACGTGACTTTACCGAAAAAACCTAAGAGTATGGATAATGTAATGAACCACTCCCTCCTGAAGCCCTCTCGCGGCGGCAGACATCGACATTAGTATTTAATTTATTGCTGCAATGTGCAATTGAATGAAAACATTTACAAGCTAAGGCCCACTCAAGAACCAGGCTACAGTCTATATTATAGACTGCCAGTACGCTTACCGAGGTTAAGAACCAGGCTGCAGTCTACATTATAGACGGCCAGTACACTCACCAAACTTAATAACCAGGCTACACTATAGACTGCCAGTTCACTCAATCCGATTAAGAACCAGGCTACATTCTAGATTTGAAGTTTTCGTGACTGAAATAATCCATACTCTTTGGTTCTTTCGGTAAAGTCACGTAGGTAAAAAATAAATAAAAGTAAATTAAATTAAATCACGACGTTTCGATTGCAACACAATAAATCATTATCATCATCAGGTGTGAAAATCACAGCTAGAAATGTTTTACTAAAGTGGGAAAAATACCGAGGTTAAGGAGTTTCTATAAGTGTGGACGTCAGGGACTGGGACGTGAGACTGTGCGGTGGGGGGGAAGTGGGGGGTGGGGGGAAGTGCGGGGTGGGGGGAAGTGCGGGGTGGGGGGAAGTGCGGGGTGGGGGGAAGTGCGGGGTGGGGGGAAGTGCGGGGGGGGGGAGTGGGCGGGGCTAGAAGCGAGAGGTTGAGGGGGCTGGAGATGCGCGGGGGGGGGGGGGAAGTGGGCGGGGCTAGAAGCGAGAGGTTGAGGGGGCTGGAGATGCGCGGGGGGGGGGGGGAAGTGGGGGCGGGGCTAGAAGCGAGAGGTTGAGGGGGATGGAGATGCGCGGGGGGGGGGGAGTGGGCGGGGCTAGAAGCGAGAGGTTGAGGGAGCTGGAGATGCGCGGGGGGGGGAAGTGGGCGGGGCTAGAAGCGAGCGGTTGAGGGAGCTGGAGATGCGCAGGGGGGGGGAAGTGGGCGGGGCTAGAAGCGAGAGGTTGAGGGAGCTGGAGATGCGCGGGGGGGGGGGAAGTGGGCGGGGCTAGAAGCGAGAGGTTGAGGGGGCTGGAGATGCGCGGGGGGGGGGGAAGTGGGCGGGGCTAGAAGCGAGCGGTTGAGGGAGCTGGAGATGCGCGGGGGGGGGGGAAGTGGGCGGGGCTAGAAGCGAGAGGTTGAGGGGGCTGGAGATGCGCGGGGGGGGAAGTGGGCGGGGCTAGAAGCGAGAGGTTGAGGGGGCTGGAGATGCGCGGGGGGGGGGGGGTGCTAGAAGCGAGAGGTTGAGGGGGCTGGAGATGCGCGGGGGGGGGGGGAGTGGGCGGGGCTAGAAGCGAGAGGTTGAGGGGGCTGGAGATGCGCGGGGGGGGAAGTGGGCGGGGCTAGAAGCGAGAGGTTGAGGGGGCTGGAGATGCGCGGGGGGGGGGGGTGCTAGAAGCGAGAGGTTGAGGGAGCTGGAGATGCGCGGGGGGGGGGGAGTGGGCGGGGCTAGAAGCTGGAGATGCGCGGGGGGGGGAAGTGGGCGGGGCTAGAAGCTGGAGATGCGGGGGGGGAAGTGGGCGGGGCTAGAAGCGAGAGGTTGAGGGGGCTGGAGATGCGGGGGGGGGGAGTGGGCGGGGCTAGAAGCGAGAGGTTGAGGGGGCTGGAGATGCGCGGGGGGGGGGAAGTGGGCGGGGCTAGAAGCGAGAGATTGAGGGGGCTGGAGATGCGCGGGGGGGGGAGTGGGCGGGGCTAGAAGCGAGAGGTTGAGGGGGCTGGAGATGCGGGGGGGGGGAGTGGGCGGGGCTAGAAGCGAGAGATTGAGGGGGCTGGAGATGCGCGGGGGGGGGGAGTGGGCGGGGCTGGAGATGCGCGGGGGGGGGAGTGGGCGGGGCTAGAAGCGAGAGGTTGAGGGGGCTGGAGATGCGCGGGGGGGGGGGAAGAGAGAGAGAATCAGCGACGACTTTAGTTACCGCAGTTTATTTTTTATTTTTTTTACCTACATGACTTTACCGAAAGAACCAAAGAGTATGGAATTAGGCTACAGTCTACATTAGTGGGTTTTTTTGTTTATTATTATTTCATTTTTTAAAATCATTTTTATTCACTTTCTTTTCATTATTAATTTTCTATCTCCGTGAATTTACCGAAACAACCAAAGAATAAGGGCCCACTGACCTATGATGGAGCTCTCTTTCAGAAGCGACCTGGCCACAAATGATAGCTCAACGAAAGTGGCTTATCGCGTGGGAATTTATAGCAGTCAAATATTCTAAACGCATGTAAATTCTCAATGCGGAGGAGAAACACGGACGACCTGGAGAAAAATACACGCGACCACGGGGAGAGAGAGAGACACGCAAACTCCAAATATACAGCAGCAGGCGTCAGGGTCGGGATCGAACCCACGACCTCCTGTAGACCAGGCGAGGTAGTCAACATCTCATAGCCACCGTGGCGATTTGGAAAGCCAATAGGCCGAGACACACTTGATTTGTGCAGATATAAAACTGTTACGTGTTATATATTTGATGTAAATCAGGTACTTAAGAAACGTAAATGTCAAAAAATTATAATATCACAAGGCATCGAAGCCACATTCAATCCGAGTAAAACAATTTACCTCACGATCTCCCTCAGCGTCCTTAAATAAATTTACATAACTTGCAGCATACTGTCCTAAACTTGTCTTCTGGAGTATTCGCTTTACTTTACCTCACCAATTCTGAAAAATCCCGCCTCAGTTGGAGAGTGGCCACGGCGTGATGACGTCACCAGTACGGTGACGTCACCGCGAAAGTCGGCTTACAACAGCATTTACGTGCAGGTGCGTCATCACGTAATCGTGCGTGATGACGACAACAAGTAGCAACGACATCCGACAATTATCGATCGACCGCTGAGTTGTGCTAGTTATGACGTCATTATGTCGCAGGCCTCGTGATACGTCACATCACTAATTTAGTGATGACGTCATCGCATTGCCCGAACTTCGTTACGTCGCAGTGCTCGTGTCACGTCACATCACTAATTTATCAATGACGTCATCGCATTACCCGACGTGTTGACGTTGACCTCAAGCTATGAGGTCATCACGTCGCGTTGCGTCATCGCGCTGGCATGCGTGATGACGCAAAGCGCGCGATTGAAGCTTCTTTTCCGAATCGCGTACCGCGGCGTAATGATGTCAACACGCGTTGACGTTTTTCTAACAGACAACGTACGTCACCACATACTGCGGCGTAATGACGTCTCCGGGCGTGAAATCCCAATTCACGTATTGCATGTAATCGAGTTGCCGTGCGTGACGACGTCATCACGCTTAGGAGTCCTCGTTAACGGGCGGCGAACCAACGTAATTGGGCGTTGCTGCGTAGTGACGTCATTGCACGTTGCCGCCCTCCTCGAATGTTAAAACGGACGCAATCACGCACCGCGGCGCAATGACGCGCGCCTTTCTTCGCGTAACCACGCGTCACGCGTAGCCGTGCGCGGTGACGTCACCGCGTAGCCGTGCGCGGTGACGCCACCGCGTAGCCGTGCGCGGTGACGTCACCGCGTAGCCGTGCGCGATGACGTCACCGCCTAACCGTGCGCGGTGACGTCACCGCGTGGGGGGCATCTCCGCCTCGGCCGTGCATGGTGACGTCGCCACGTAACCGCGCGTGGTGACGTCACCACGTAGCCGCGTGCATTGACGTCAACCGTACGTCACCGCGTAGCCGCGCGTGGTGACGTCAGGAGGGCATGACGCGCCAGTGTTTACAATCTGCCCGTACGAGCCAGAGGCTTCTGTTGTTGTTGCTGCTGCTCCGCGTCTCCGTCGTGTCGCCTCAATTTTCTTAATTTTTTAGTTGCACATTGCGCGTGTAGTTTTTAAAAATATATATCTATACAGCCCTTTGGCTTTCCACTCGTTTATTGTCCGCTTTTGTAGTTTCCCGAGCGACTTCTTCAAAGTTATTGTCGTAAACAAAAGGGGGACGAGTAGAAGCCGCGAGGAGGCCCCGAGGGAGCGATGCCGTCGGAGAAGTCCTTCAAGCAGCGGCGGAGTTTCAGTGAGCGAAGGCGGCGGCCGCGGCGGGCGACCTCGAGGCTTTTTGTTTCGCAGGGCCTCGGCGATAGGCCCTCTCTCTCTCTCTCGCAGCGATTTAAATCTCGCGTCTATTGTAATAGCCACTCGTGTTGTTTGCGTGTGTTTGTTTTAAACGTAACGGATATGTGTTCGAGGCGTCAGTCGGGTTTTGTTGTTGTTGTTGTTGTTGTGAAGTAAATTAAGAACAATAACTGGCGAAGTTTAAAACCGCGGTGTTGGCTGAGGTGAGGAGGGGTGGGGAGGCGATGATGATGATGGTGGGGGAGAAATGGCAGCCGCTTTGTGTGGTCATCGTTACGGGGGTGGGTGGGCTTTTGATTCGGAACAGCGTTCACGGTGGCGATTGTCAAGCTCCAAAACATCGTCGGTGTGATCCGCTGCATCTTGACGATGATGATGATGATCACCGTCCGTTTTCATCGGACGTTCTCGCCTCGTGGTTGGGCTTCGCGATGTTTATTTGACGTCGGTCATTATTGGCACCGTTTGACAAGAGGCCAACACCGTCAAGCACCGACGGTCGTTGTCGTCATCTCACAAACGTAGTCGTCTCGCCGATCATCGTCAGCCTTCCTAGTCGTGTCCGCCACTACTTGACAGAGGCTATATAACGTCGTCTTCTCGGCCTTTGTGTGTCATCCTCTCGGCCTTTGTGTACACACTGCTGTGGATGGAAGATCATGTTCGCCATGGTCTATCCACTGTTCGACGAATTTCCACCCCCCCCCCCCATCAACAGCAGCGGCAAAGATCGAAGTCGTATTTCATTTGCAGGAGAGAGGCGTATTCAATCTTGGCGACATCGCTTTAGACTTTAAAGATTTCCTAAAGTCGAAAAAAGCGAGCGATGGCGTGGGAGGCTTAACCCCGAAGTGTGTAGATTATGACAATTGCTGGCTTCTATCCAGTAGTGGATACACAGTTACTTTGATAGTCGTGGAGTGACCTTCATACAGCAGTAGACGAGGGGCGACAATAAAGTTGATGTCGTGAAGCCGAGCCACGAGCAGTATGGTCGGGCAGTTGTTGTGTAACATGGTTGTAAACATAGTTGTAAACACGGTTGTTGTTGTTGATGATGATACGGTGGGTGGGCTGTGTAAAAGCCAGTGGCGATGGAAATGTCGCGTTCCGATGGCACATTACCGGCTGGTCGCCATAAACAACAACAACAGCTGCTGCTGCTGCTGCTGTTGGCTTCCCATGACAATTTACCGTCGGGCGCTAACCGGATCGTGTGTTAAATTATACTGACCCCCCCCCCGCCAACATGACGACTACGATTGTGATGGTGGTGTGGGTTGTGTCGAGACGTTTCACATCGGCGACGGTAAAGTAGTCGACAGAGTCGAGGTTTTAGCAAATGCGCAGATCGAACGTGAGATACATCCCGCTGGTGATGGGTTTAAAAAAAAATGTAATGACGTCATCCCGCTGTTATTGTTATGGCTTGTCGAGAGCGACGCGGTTCGAACCGAAACGATGGCCTCTAAGCACGAGTTCCTTTGTATTCGCCAAGTGTGTATATGCTTACCCGTGTTATCGCTTGTGTCTAAAGTTACTCCCCCCCCCCCACCCGGAGTAGATTTCACTCGGCCTACCCATCCTTACAGGGTCAGTCAAATAAGTCCACTGTTCAACAAGTCGGCGTTTACTCGGACAGACACTGGCCGCGGCCATGATAATGTGGAATTTCCACCATAAGCCTCAAGAGTTTAGGGGTAGAGACGAGCTCCCACCCCATTCGCCAGGGGAGGCTCTTAACTTAATTAGACTTTTTTTTCACGACAGATGTTTAATGTTGCTGCTGCTGCTGCAGATACTGCAGCCAGGAAAAGGCATTGTTCTAAATCTAGGAGGCATAATTGCATAACAAGCGAGCACAGATGTTGAAGGCCAGCCCACTGTAATCTGTCGGGGATTAAATTCGTTCACGCGCTAAGTGCAACAGTCTCTCTCTCGTACGGGTGCCCTTTTTCGTTTAGGTCTTCGTACTAACGAGAGTCATTTATCGCTCGCCCTTTCCTGTGTGTGCTTCTTGCTCCCCCCCCCTGCCCCCTCTCCGTGTTTCTCTTCCCGAGCAGCCGAGAGGGTGAAGGACGTGGAGCTGATCCGCTCTCAGCACCCCAACAAAATCCCGGCAAGTGCGGCGGTGGCGGCACTCAACGCAACAAGCGTTCGCGCTCGAGGTGTCCTCGTTCAAATTAAGCCAGGAGATTTAAAACTCAAAACCCTTACGCCCCAGATTTAGCTGATTATACAATGCACAGTGGATGTATGTAGCGTCTAAATGCTGTCTCAATTAAAACGCTGTACAGAAAGTTATTTTATAGAAAAACACGAGCGGTCACTAATAGTAGGCAGACGAGGATAAGGGAAGAGAGGTCTTGAACCTGGATCTGAACAGTGGCAGTCTTACTAAGTAAGTGTGAGCAGTAAAACATATCTGTTTCCGATTAAGATTTTGGTCAGTTGAAACGTTTTTTTTACGGTGTGTACCTTTGTCTTTATAGCCAACAATGGGGGCGAATTGTCAAGTTGATTTTGTTTTGTCGATTTGTAAATGCGGCTCAATTTACAACTCGGTGAAAATTAGGAGTATTTGAATATATTGACTGCTGGGAGGAGTGAAGAGCAGATTTTTTTGGAAGCCATGTGCTATGTTCCGGTAGACTTGTTTTGCACTTTGACCCATTGTACCCAACTGGGACCTTTTGAATGCGTTGGCTTTGTTACAGATTGTGAATTGCCGAGTATAACTCTAGCAGTAAAATACAATGAACCTTCAGGAATTTGTGGTTAAGACAAGGCCACTGTATACAACATGCATGTTACGTGGACATCCGTGCTAATCGGAGGTGCGGGAGAAGGACGACAAACTAAAACACAAAGCAGTTTTAAAGAAATGAGTTTTCCATCGAGATGATTTAAATGTCCATGTAGCTCCAGTAGCTTCCTAACATCGGAAGGAAGAGCGTTCCAGAAGGCCGCAAAAGCGCGTTTTAAAGCGCCGTCTTTGTTAGATGACTAGCCAAAATGCCGCTGACTTCCCAAAATACCATCTATGGTTATGGACTATAAATAGTCAACTCATCCAGGGTAATGGTGGGTAGAGGGGTGGTCTGGATAAAACAGGAAAATACAAAACATATGCAAATGAGGCTTTAAGGATGTATTTGCTTGCAAAGGTAGTGGGGGGTCAAGACGTAGGCTGTTTTTTTTTATTGTTCAAGTAATCGATCACTTGAGTCATTGAGTGGGGAGCAGTGAAATAATAACCAGCCTGCTAACAGAAGGCAAGACTGAGTGCTTCAGTCTGTATCCTTTATTTAACCAGTGTATGAAATACTCCCAATGCTTATGTTTCCCAACGGCGGCCTAGGTCTTGTTAAGTGATATTAAGTACGCGTATTTTATGAACATTTAAAATTGAACAAATCTCGGCTGAACGTATTAATAATAATGTAATTTATAATAAATGTATTACCCGCACCTCCGATTGGCACGGTTGGCTACGTACGGTGCGAAAGAAGTTCAACATACAAATATAAAGTTCTGGAAATTAAAATAAAAACATCAGGCAAGTATTATGGAGAAAACTACAAAATGTGATAAAATGTTAACAAATGATGCCCAAACATTTCAACGTATGTATCATGAACTTTAGAATCGTTACCCCTCGGTAATCGATGCGCCATTATAAGCCAGCTATCTGCCCATCAGTAGACTTGGCAATCCACTATACATTTGGTGGGCAATCGATGTGTACATGCGTTATGGCAGCTGGGCATCTTAAAATATACAGTGCATGTGCTCTCAAAGAGTTGTGGTTTGTTGAGACGCTGGCCACATGTTGAACATCACGGTGTACCCACAACAGGTGTTGTGTGTTGCCCCCTCGTGAGCCGTGGTTATTTTAGCCCCCGGGCGAGCTTACACGTGGCCTTGGCTGTCGTGCGACGTTGTCAGCGTTGTACCGAGAGCAGACGCAACTAACCCGACCTGCTCACCCGCCTCATCTATCTCTGCTCACCCCCCTCCCCGCTCTCACCCCCTTCTCTTCGCACGAACCCCCCTCACCTCATTCCCCTCCGACCGCCGGTGCTCGGAGTAAACTCGCCGCGCTTGTCAGCAAGCTGTCGCGATCGAAATAAAATGCAATTGCTCGCGAACGACTCCCAAGCCGTTGCTTTAAGTTACACGCCGACAAAAGAATATTTTTGAGGCAAATCAAGGGAGAAGTAGGGGGAACAGTTGTGTTCCAGAGGTGTTGGAAAGAGAGAGAAACAGTACTGGAGAATGATTGAGACAGACATAACACAGGAATGCATGGAGGGATGTTATTTATCAACTGACCCAGTTGAAAGCAGAGAGCTGGATTCGAGGTTGCTGATGATGATAACGATGTTTGTGAACGCAGGTTATCATTGAGCGATACCGCGGAGAGAAGCAGCTGCCAATGCTGGACAAAACCAAGTTTCTGGTGCCGGACCATGTCAACATGAGCGAGCTTGTCAAGATTATACGGTAAAGGGTGGCTCATTGTGTGTCGGTCGGTACTCCTACCGGCTCCTACGGGCTGATAGCATACACCACGGGTCACAAAGTTATCAGCCACTGATGTGGGCAACGTTTAAATGTGAAGTGAGAATATATTAATGTAATGGTGCTGAACATACAGCCCTTTGTCAAGCCACTGCTGGATGAAGGCCACCCCACGCTGTGTCGTCACGGTGGGGGGGGGGGGGTGTTTGACTCGACACGAGTTATTGTGGGTGGGATAAGCTGGGGGCTCAGACCAGTTCAGGATTCACTCACCACCGACGTTAGCCTTGGGTAGTATTCAAACTCGCCTTGCCGGGTTCAAAGCGCAGTGAGCCAATTACAGCGGCAAGGCTGCGCCATCCCTGGATTATTATTTGAGTTTGATAGAAATTGTAATGCCTAGGTTTCTATGAGTTCTCATTTTTACTTTGTCATTTTCATTTTGCAGTGCTGTAATCGAAAGAACAATGTGTGTATTATGCGACTGCAGTATTGAACATTTTTGTCCGTATCTTAAGAGGCTATTCATGATAGTGTGGCAGCCGCACTCCTAATGTGCATTAGTCATCCGCTGGGGTCGGGTGAGGGGTGTTGTCAGCAGCAGTTCGTCCTACTCTTGTGAAAAGGGAGTTTTTTTGCCTTTTTATCCCATCTAAGGGAGAGAAAAAAAGCATTAAAATGGAAAAGAGAAATTGCTCAAGCTTCCATTCAGAGCACACGTGCATTTGCTTGTTCCGATATAACTTTTAAGAAATTGGTACTTGATTCGGCCTCTGCGTGAGGGGTATAGATGCCTCGTTTGACCATACTTTGCGACGCTGGTCAATCATTTAGTACCAAGTTCCCCCGGTAAAGGTCAATTACAAACCTGGGGGCCCCTAAGAACCCAACCGTAATCACGCATCGGACAGGGCATGCGCGGGAACAAGAGCGGCTTGTACGGCGATGGCACACGTGAGATCCCTTTCTAATTATACCGCATGTTTTATGTTTCGCGAATGTTGACAGCACTCCAGTCTCCCAGCTTCTCGCTTCTCGCCGCCGCTGATGAATGATGTCCTTTTGTGGTCTCGGCAACGCTTTAGCGCACACAAGTCTGGCCCGTTGTTTGTTTGTGTATTTTTTTGTCCTCCGAAATTTTGGGGAGAAAAACATTTCGGCGCTCGTAATTGGGTAAAATTTTAACTTGTTGGTGCTTCGACGGCGATTTCCCCCCCCCCCCCCCCCCTCTTAACTCGCACGGCTGCCGGGGCTGTGGCTATTTATAAAATGTGTTGCTAAACGCGGATGCTTATCCACTCTCAATGCTGCCCTCTCAAAGAAGTGTTGTGTTGAAAGTCATTTTTCTCAAGGTGTGTTCGAGAGGACGGGTTGATTACTACGTGGACATTCTGTTCCGGCCAAGAAGCTTAAAATATTACGCAACGGTGCCAATTGCACGATGTTTGTTTCCCAGAATTCATGCCATCAGATTTGTTTGTACAGCTATGGAGTCCTCATGCTGTTTTGCACTCGGCATAAATGAAAGTGTCAACATGTGAAATATACATCGTAATACTTTTCATACTTTCAACGATTGTTCATAATGTAATTGACTTTTCGTAATGTTTGTGTGGTGTGTTGTGAGCTCTACGCTTGGTACTTGGCGCCGCGGTGACGAGATGTTCACTCCCTCGCCTGGTATACAGGCGGTTGTGGGTTCGATCCCGACCCCGGTGCCTATCTATTTGGAGTTTGCACGTATCTCTCCCCCGTGGTCCTCTGGATTTTTCTCCGGGTCCTCCAGTTTCCCCCTCCACATTTAGAATCAACACACATTTAGAGTATTTGGCTGCTATCAATGTTTGTGTAATAGACCACTTCGTTCAGCTATCATTGTTGGCCAGGTCACTTCTGAAAACGAGTTACACAGCTCAGTGGACCTTACCTGGTAAAATAAAATAAAAATGAACTTGAGTTTAACATGAATGGCGAGAGATATGAGACTGGTTCTCGGCACCCACTTTACCAACTCACACCGACCAGTTTGGCGAAGTTTGATCAAACAAATCATCGAGAGTAACACGGCATGGTAGGCATGCTTTCTCGCAGCAGTGGAGCGAAACAATTGGAAAAACACATTCTTATTTCAGCATTTGCATTTGAACTAACCATCCGTTCATTACCAGCGACATATTTGTTTGGAATTCGGCTCGTTAACTTTGACACCGCATGATACAAAATCTTGCTTCGTATCAGTTCTGTCGTTGATCTCTCCAATAGAGCCAAGCTGCAGGTTTTTTTTCAACTGTCGTGTCTATGCTTGGGCAACTGTAAAAAAAAAACAAAAAAGTGAAATTAAAAACAAAAGTAGACCAGTGAGCCAGCACCGCCGAGATCTGGGTTTGAACCCGGGCAGCCAACCCGCAGTGATTGGAACAAGTTCTCACTTGCATTGAGCCGATGTTATCGGCCCCGATGACTGCACAACCACAGTCGTTCATCTTGGTCTTCACAGAAGTTGGCAATAGTTTCCACCGTGAGAATTGCACATTTAGTTTGATTGCCATGCGACGATCATCTCTACAGCACCTAGGGCCAGCAAGGCAAAATCCTTTTAGCGTTGGTCTTTGTCACTAGGTTCAAATTTACATTTAATTATTAGAATTCAATCATTACGAAAATTATCCTAGTCCCCTCCCCCACCCATCATTATATACAGACATGAAAGCTTCCAGCAACTGATGGAAAGCGGTAAAAACTAAATTGGACGCATGACACATAGAGGTGTTGGTAGTGATTTGCACTCGGCTGTGGCTCAGGGCGTACTCTCTACCCCCAGCCTGCGCATGCCGGTGGTTTAGGAAAGGATTACGGTTCAGTCCGTGATGGTTACCACCTGCCGTAGTGCAGGACACACCCAGACCCTCTCGGCTTGACAGTGCTAGCCATGATTCTAGATTTGAAGCTTTCGTGACTGCAAGGATTCATATTCTTAGGTTTTTTCGGTAAAGTCACGTAGGTAAAAATATTAAAATTAATAAAAGTAAAATAAAATAAAAATCACGACGTTTCGGAGGCAACACAAGCTTCCGTCTTCAGGTGGAACCGTCACAGCCACGACAGCTTTATCAAGTAAATGAGAGATTGCAGGAGCTACCACTCCGTTTATATAATGGTTGGAGAGGGGGGAAGGGCCAAGTACAGCACACTTTTATTTTATTTTACTTTTATTAATTTTAATGTTTTTACCTACGTGACTTTACCGAAAAAACCTAAGAATAGTGCTCGCCATGGTTGGAGGGAGGGGGGGTCTCGTCGTGAACGGGTGTCCATCCTGTGTGGCTCGCCTTTTCATTCTATTTCCACTTCCGCGAGTGTTTAATTGATCGCCGTGCGTGTTGCCTGTGGGCGTAAGGTACGGGTGGGTGGGTGGACTGCGCGATAACCCCAGGGATCTATGTTCGACGTGTTGCCAACTGTCTCTTCACTGACCTGCACTGAGCAGGGGGGTGGTGAAATATGGTCAAACAACCCCCATGGCTGATATGATGTGTGGAGATCTTTATCCAGCAGTTGATTAATTGCTCGCAATTTTTTAAGTAATGTGTGTCATGTGTTGACTTTTATTTCCCTCTTTGAATAATCACACGAGCTTTAAGAGTTTTTCTTGCTTAATTTAGGCAGTTTTACGTGACATCTTTGCAGGGTTTCTTGTTGTTTTGTATACATTCTAGATTTTAAGTTTTCGTGACTGCAAGGATCCATACTTTTTGGTTCTTTCGATAAAGTCACGTAGATGAAAAAATATAATAAAAATAAATACAATATAAATAAAACACTAAAATAAGAATACACTAAAATCTAAAATTGTAAAAAAAAATTGTTATTTCTATTTTTTTGTATTTTATATATATTTTTATTATATTTTTTCACCTACGTGACTTTACCGAAAGAACCAAAGAGTTTTGTATACATTCTCTTTTTTAAATGTCACATCGTTGAGAAGCTGGTCCACATCTTAACGTTGATTTTTTTCTCTTTCTATCCATTCATAATGTGTTTTTCTCAGTTATCACTATTTTGAAATAAATACATAACAGTTTTGCGAGTCACTATACTCAAGTTTTACGAGTCAACCAGCAGTGGGATTATAGGTTTTTTTTTTCTTCATTAGTCTCAAACTTATGGTTAAAGAATACAGTATTTGTATTCAGCACCCTTTAAAACCTCCAGATACCAATTTGTATATGCCTAGGTTAAACATTTTTAAAGTTAATAATGTTTTGTATCTCCGAGTTTGGAGTGCTTGAGTACTTTTAGGGTTATTTTAGTTGTAAGCAATAGATGTCACTACTAAAGTATAAGTTGTTTTTGCTCGTCGAGAACAGCGGTTCATAACCTTTACTGCAGCCTTGCACTCCTTGGCTTGTCAATCGTAAAAAATGCATAATGGTAATCAATACATAGGGTTTGATGAAACAAAGTAAGTTGTAAATTTCGATTTAAAGCTTTCATGACTGCAGGGATTCTTATTCTTGGTTCTTTCGGTAAAGTCACATAGAAGGGAAACAATAAAATAATAAAAATATAAAACAATAAAATTCTCACGACGTTTCGACTGCAACACAAACAATCACCATCAGGTGTGAAAAACACGGCAAGAAAATTTGAAAAAAGTGGCGGTTTTTTCTTAACGTTATCAAAAACTGAAAACCCGCCACTTTTTTCAAAATTACTTCCTGTGTTTTTCACACCTGATGATGATTGCTTGTGTTTGAAGTCGAAACGTCGTGATAATTTTATTGTTTTGTATTTTTATTATTTTATAGTTTCCCTTCTACGTGACTTTACCGAAATAACCAAGAACACAAAGTAAGTTGTACTTACGTGCCCTTGCTTAATTTATGTTTCGATGATTTACCTTCTAAAAAAAAATCTGGCTATGTCTCACTACCCCCAGAAAGGGCATCCTGTCCCCCCAGGGGGTGCGTGCGTGCACCCCAGGTTAAGATCCACTCATCTAGTGCATCATTAGAATGTTACGTGACCGATTCGAATACCTTTGTCAGAAATCTAAAACGGTAAAAATAACTAATTCTGCCCTCTAGTGGTGTTGTCCTAGTATGCTCTGTTATACAGAGTCAGACACAAGCTTTACTTGGAGCCCCTGAAACACTCCACTGCTGGATGAACACCTCCCCATGTCAGTCACGATGGACGTTTGACCATACTTCACCATACTTCACCATACTTCACCATACTTCACCATACTTTACCATGCTGACCAGCAGCGGGTTTGTGTGTGGTCGCCTTGTTAAATGGGTAATATGTTTTGCGTTCGTAGAGTATTCGCATACATTCTGCAAGTGTTAAAACTCGCCCAATTTCCCTAGTTCAGATGAATCTGCACTCGGTGGTTTGCCCGTAGTGGTTGGTGCGCCTCTGTTTACTCTGCGTTTTGCCTTTTTAGTGATAATCATGCCTGTTTAGTAAGAAGAATAACAATGCGCCCCACGTTTTGACCACTTATTTTTCTTCATCTGATTACACTACAGGGTTCCCTCGCTTTATGCGGTAGTAGATGCTTTCCAAAAAAAGTGCGCGCAAGGCGAAACCGCACGCGACAGTTGCCTGGAATTTTTTGCACTTTTTGTACGCAGCATGGACGGGTTGTGCTTTTTCTGTAGGATTTAATTGTTTACGTATGTGATGTTTAGATTTGTGTACAATGAATTTTAGGTGTATCTTGTAATTTTATTGTTTGTTGCGGTTGAACCCAAATCAAGAGCCGAATGGCTCACAGGGTAAATCCTAATAAATGAAACTGAAACTGAACTGCCGAGTAGCGCGTACAGCGCACACTGCGTTCTCCCACATCCAACCGCATCGCTGCACACGAGTGAATTCAAACCGCAGTCGAGTGAATATAGGGTAGAAATAGGCTAGCCGCATGTGCGCCAAATCGCACAAAGCGAACCCGTATGGAGCCAGGGGAAATCCACCTCTTTTGTATGCAAAGGGGGCGCGTCCACATCTAACGAGAAGGCTAAATGCAGTGGCACCTGCGGCATTTAGAACCGCTATGGAAATTCACCAGCCCTGTTGTGGATAGTCACCGTCGCCTTGTGACCTCTGAGCCCTTCCGTCCATCTAGCGCATGCTGTCGTTGTTATCGTTCACTTCGTTGTTATGTTACTGCTTATTCAGAGACATACCTGAGCGGATAGTGAGGGGGGGTCAAAAAGGGCAGGTCCCCCCCCGACCCCGCCCACCTCTTTGATGTTTTTAAACGACGTTGCACATAGCTGTAATAATTGTGAAATGAAATGTGTGAATGACTCAATAATTGCCGTATTGAACACAACGCAGCTACGCATGAGCATTCAGGAATGGGGGTGTTTCAAATTGAAGTTTCAACAGAGTTGGGGAAACGTTTTCCCGACTTGGCACTCTTAGTAAGGGGGAGATTCTGCCCTCGTGTAATGTGGAGCCCACTGGACTTGCATTTCATAGGTCACCGGTTCGATCTTCCGGCACGGCAGTTGAGAAACAATGGGCACGTTTGTTACGTCGCCCCACTCTGTCTGTGCTCCCATTAACATCATTGGGTACACCACGGTTAGTCGATCGGTAGGTCGCACGGGGTGGGGTACAGCGTGGGTACTCTTCCAAGGCATCTGGCCAGTGTGGAAGAGTAGGCCAAGTTACCCTCTACCATGAGGGTTTTCCTGAGCTCCCCGTCGTAGAGGCCTGTCCACCAGCAGTGGCGTGATCAAGTAATTATCGGAGGGCCGCACCTCCAGCATTTCACGATTTATCATCGGTAGGAGAACAATTTGCCGCGTAAGCCACCGCTGCTTCTGTAACGTCGATCGTTCTCCCGTCGTCGCGTTCTGTGTCGCAGGCGCCGTCTGCAGCTGAACCCCAACCAGGCGTTCTTTCTGCTGGTGAACCAGCGCAGCATGGTGAGCGTGGCGGCGCCCATCTGCGAGGTGTACGAGCAGGAGCGCGACGACGACGGCTTCCTCTACATGGTCTACGCCTCGCAGGAGACCTTCGGCTTCTGAGCCGATCCGATCCTCAGCCGACGACTTTTCAACACGGCCGCGCCCGGACCTCGCCGCCGTGTGCGTCCTTACGACTCTCGCCACGACCCCGACTAATCGCCGCCTCTTTATTTCCCTCCATCCCTCTCCCCCACCCCACTCGTCATCCCGCCAACCTGCCCCACTTCCCCCTCCCACCCCCGGCACACTGTCCTCCTCCGAACCTCGCATTTTGTTTAATTTCATAGCTGCCAATGTTCTGATTTGATGGACCGTTGTACGTTTCTCCGTTCACGCCTACCAGTTTTTTTTTATTTTTGACCGTGCTCTGTTTTGAAGCGAAACGGGATGGCAAACCTGACAATTACCTTGGAATTGCGTCCGGTCGTAATGTCGGATGTTAATATGAAGCCTAAGATATCACGCAGCTCATGGTTGGCGCGTGCATACCACTGCTAATTATGACCTCTCGTTTGCTCCCCTTCCTGACGAGCACCTGCTCCGTTTTCTGCGCTGTAAGGAATTAGGGAAATATCATGGCATGCTCTTGTTTTTTTGACGGCAAAAAATTGGAGCATGCTTAGCTCCCCTTTTGACTTTCCTAAGTTGGCAGCTATGTAATTTAATTATAATGTTTTTATTTTTTAGACTGGCAGTGGTAGTGCCATCTTGACTTGGCTGCCCCAGCGGGTTTGCTTGTTCCGAGGGTGCCACCCGCTGCAAACGACTGACAATTCAGGCCGATTCTTCAGGAGCCTTTTGTTGACATTTCGTGGACTCTGTATCCTCAAGCCGTGGATACACGGGGGGCCACTTGTTTGTGATCCTAGGCAAGATTCTCTCTCTCCACGGAGGCCTGAACACCGGCAGGGCTTACAGCCATAGTGATTCCCCCCCCCCACAAAATTTGCAATGATCCAACTGGGGAACTTTGGATAATAACTCCGACACTGTGATAGCAACGCGTGTACAACGTGGCAAACGCGCGAATTAGCAACAATTGCAAGCGCGAGTACATTTTTACAACACGGGAAATGTAAATTGGTACATTACAAACCAGCCGTGCGCGTTGGAAACGGGGAGTCGTGATGCTGCCCGAAATGCGATTGGCGCCGCGTTTAATTGGCCCAAACGGGCAGCCATGCTTTTCCCCTCGCTTGTACCCACGCAGTTCCCCGATGAAGGTTTATCAAAGGATGTTTCGATGCCACCAAGTTGTCATCGTGTTCCCGTGACTAAAACGATGGAAACCCGTAAACTGAGGCTTTTCAAAAACCGTTCCCGTTTGCAAATTGCTCACCTTGGCTCGTTTCGGCAATGGCGTTACTATATCACCAGCAGCGCCGTCGATAACTACCACGACAGCGTGCTGCCCGCCCTGTGGGGGATGACCGCGTCTCGTTTCCAACGGTCGTTTTCAACGTCCCGGGATCAACCGCGTTGCTCTCTGAAGCGCGGGGGGACATTTTTTTTATTTTAAAGAAATGCTGGGAAGTTGAGAGGCGCCCAGAGGCTTTTTTGTTGTTTTAAGTTCACTAACTACATCGGCTGCACCTGTGCAAGAACTTTGTTTGCCTTTACCACCTTCCAGTTGTTGCTGGGTACAAAAAAAAAACGTGTAGCATTCTTTCACCAGCGATAGCTAAATTGTGTTTGTGTTTTTTTTCTTCCGTAGTCGAGTTTATTTACGATCTGCTTCGTATTAAGTCGCTGTCGAGTTTTGTTTTCCTCGCAGTGACCTTTTTCTTTTTGTTCACTCGTAGCTTTTAAGTTGCCCGATTTTCTAGTCCCGTCAAGGCGTTTGAACCGCATCTATCACCCGCTTATTGTACGCGACGAACGCGCCTCATATTCGACAACGCGAGCCGCAAGAGCCCGTTAAGCAAATTAACCTACCAAAATATGATGCTTTGCACAGGTAAAGGTTTTAAAAGTGACATTCTTTCTGAAATCGTTGCATATTACTTTAAACTTAAGATACCGCGAGATATTATTCAATTGCTTCCTGTATTTTAAAAGCGTTCGTTTATTGCAAACTGTTTTAAAAACTTAAAACTTCATGGTGATCTGTGCTTCCCCCCCCTCCCCATTTTACTGTTAAAACTTTCTCATTTTCCACTTTGCTCGCGGTAAAGTTTGTGCATGGAGTTGAATTTTGAAATAAGCTGGCGCTTTTCAGCGTCATAGTGGACCGATAGCCCCCTTGTGCGCATTTAAAATCCCAGCATCGCAGTCTTTTGCAGCGCAGGATATAACGCTGAACACGTTAAGTTATGAATACGCCCATGCATGTGCAGCCCTGTTGTCAGTCCACTGCTGGATGAGGGCCTCCCAATGCCGTGCGGGTCATGGGGGTTATACTGACCACACTTCACCCTGGTCAGTGCAGGGTTGACAAGGCGAGAAGCACGTACGTTGTGAGCATGGTACAGTGCAAAAGTGAATGTTGGTGCACTGCCCTCTGACAACGTAGCCCCGTAGCGGCCTGCAACGCCCGGTTTCTAGCGTGGTGGTCGCCCATCCAATCGCTATCCAAGTTGAAACCCCGCTTAGCTTCCAAGATGTGACGAGATCAAGTGCACTGTGGGTGACTTGGGCCGCCGGCGTGCACGCATTGCCGGGATGAGCGAGACATTGGGCCGCACCGTTGCGGAGGAACAAACTTGCGCTCTTGCCATCTGGGAGCAACAGAAGGCGCCGGAGCTTTCTACGGAGCCTGGCGACCAGTGCCCAACTCACGGCACGGCCAGATAGAGCGCCAGATGTGGCAGTGCGCATGCTATGGCGATGCCAGGGCCACGGTGAGGGACGATGGCCGGGTGGCGAGGGAGATCAGAACGCTGAGCTGGGACCGCTGAGATGGATTCTAATGCAGGCGACTGTCCGTAATGAGATGATGCCCACGGCCAACGACTGCACATAAATACCCCTCGCATTAAATTTGGTTTTGCGTTAAGTTTCGGCTCCATTCTACCTCTTGAAAATTAAAAAAATATATCGGTTTGATGGACGTCGCTCTCGGTGGCTCGAAAGGGATCTTTTCGTGGTCGCTCCGTGATGTCCGCTTCAACGGCCGCTCTCTTCAAGTGGGCGGGGGTGGGGGTCGTCGCACTATTTGGTGACGTTTTCAAATAATAACCGCTTCGTCTCGTGTGACGTGTGGCCGATGTCACAACTGGGATGAAAATGGAGAAAGACAAATAAGTATGGCTTTCACGACCAATATCCATAACATAGGTTGTTTGAGTTAGAGCTACCCCAAAAAAAACTTTATTGTGGAAATATAATGTGGATTGCGGCACAGGGCGAGGTTTACATGCTGGGTGGCCTGACACCTCTCCCACTCTTGAGGAGGGGGGTGGGGGATGAGCAGTGGCGGTCACACGGAGTCCGAAGACTTTCAGGAGGGTCCCGCGACATTGGGATGAGTGGCCAACACCAATGACATTGTGTTTGTGTGCGTGTTTAGCTTTGGGAGGAATCGCATGGAGAAGAGCGGTAGAACATACAAATGCCACACAGGAAAGCGGCAAATTCGGGAATGGAATCATTTTTGCCCTGAGGCGCAAGTGTGAGCACTGCACCACATTTGCCGATGATGGGCGCTCACGTGTCGGTCGGTCTAGTGCAGCCGCCTCAAACCCTAAGACGTCTCCACCCACGCCTCCCCGTGGACCTCGGCAGCCCTCGACCTTAGCCGGGGCGAGCCGTGCAGCCGTTAAATGCCGAGACCCGTGTCTCTCGGACTCCGCTCAAGGATAATGACACGCGGAAAATGTGACGTGCAGTCTGCGAAAGGCACGATTGTGGCCATTGGATCGGTCGACCTGCCATGCCTTGCATGCCATGTGACGTGACCATATTGTGTGCAGGCTTTCACCTCGCCTTGTGTGTTTGGCCACCGACTCGAAACGAGTCAAAATTGTGGCCATATTATTTTAGAGCCTCTCTGTGCACCAGTGTAACGCCTTGCTAGCTATCTTCAGTGCAGTGTGGTCATCATTGCCTCGGGGGTATTTATGGGCATGTCACATGACACGCAAGGCACGACGTTTGGTCCGATCCAACATCACAATCGCACTTTTAGCTGCCTATAAGTTGCCCATTCCATGTCTCGGCTTTATTCCTCTTGTTCGTTTCCAACCTGCATGTGCTGTTCTCTCAGATGAGAGTCTCATCAGTTACTGAGAGTGTTAGAATCGGTTTTGCTTTTCAAGGCTGTTTCGTCCAACTTTAAATCACAATTCCCCCCCCAACCAACCATAATAATTGGCCCTCAAATTAACGTTGAGTTTGAAGCCGACGTCATGGCTAAAGGACACCAGCTACCAAAGGGAGCAGCGAATCGTCCCCGATCGTAATGAATGATGCCGAGCCCGGCGGCCCATGATTTTCGGTGCGTGTGTGTTCTATTAGGAAGCGCGGCGCTGGTTTTTGTCGAATTGCGTAACAGCCGCATTTCCAAATGGTTCTAAATTGAGATAGTTTCTGCGCTGTACTGTTGCTTGGCAGTCCGCCCCATTGTCAGGTTATGTAAGATCGCGGCTGCTGGAAAACATTCGCAAATGCCATTGATCGGGGGGGTGGGGGGGGGTGCAAAAGGTGTTGTCATTTTAGTTGGCGTCGTCGCGCTAACGCCTCTACAGGAACACGACCGCTCCCACGTGGTCGAGGCAAGTTTATCCGCTCGGGTCCATTGAATGAGTGCGTGGCGCATCTTTTATTGGGCGTTTCACATTTCTCGACATGGGGTTCGGGGGAGAAGGGGCGAGGGCGAATGCAGTGCCATGTCCTGTCCCCATCTACATTCGCTAAAGCTGCTCGCACCGCAACGTTCAATGTTTCTCGCTGACCGGGTTAAAGTTACGTGACGGGACAGCAGGCGCGCACGGATACCACCAGGGGCATTGCGCAGCGTTTGGCCACTGATTAAAGCCCCCCCCCCCCACGGCTGTACATAGCTTTTTCTACAAACGTGGGGGTGACAGCGGTAGGCGACAGTCACGTTCTGTGCTGCGCGGTTTAGGTGCAACTTTCGTTCCTGGAGCACAGCACCCGTGCCGGGACGATCGCCTTGCCGTGCGTCCCGAGCTCTGATCTCCCCGCCCGCAGGGCTCCGTGCAAGAAGCATGCCCCTCGTGTTCAGTGTGAACCGTCGTGCCCTGTGTGTGTGTGTGGGTGGCTTCCAATCGGTCGAGATCTCGTAGCGCCAGTCCCTCTCTTCTCTCCCCGCGCCAACGTGAAGCGTTGCAGAAGCGATGATGACCAGCATGTCACGTGATCGGTGCATACATCCAGTAAAAAAGAACGTACACACAGAAATAACGACGTCAAGCGTCGGCAAAGTTTGACCGAACTTCGCCTAAAGCCCACGGTGTGGTTGATACGCATGGACTTGGCACGCATGCACGTGGGGACGACTATTAGACAAACCACCCCGCCTCTTGTCAAATCGCGCTTTGGGTGCTGGTACAATTAACTCTGCCTAATAGATTGTTGCTTGTAGGTATACGCTAGAGTATTCACAGATTATCACGTGTAACTTCCAGTCGCAGTCATGTTTTCTTTTATTTTGGAGCACTTTAAACCCGCGGCTGTGTACATTTTGCTTTCAGTTATTCACGGCAGATTCCCTGTGGGGGGTGAACAGCGACTCCTGTTTGCATTCGGAGGATCAAACCGGAGCCAACCGTTTGGATTGGATGCAAAGAGGGGAAGGGGATGTCTGGATCCGAGGGTTAAGAATGTTTCGTTTACCGGCATACATTGTGTCACGTGTGTGGGTTGTGGTTTATGGTTGCTTAAGTGTACTGCGGCATTAAGTTAAATAAAAGTGAACAAAACTGCTCCGTTTCTACTGCGATGTGCTTTGCTGGGATCGCCATGTCTCCGGATTATAAGACGCACGTTCAACCCCCTGTGTTATCAAATAAAACCTGTATTATGGTGGTGGGAGGGTGCCGAATGGCTCACAGGGCTATACCTAATAAATGAACTTGAACTACTTATAATCCTGTAGCTGTGTGTGTGTGACCTGATTCAATTTTTGTTTTTAATAATGTTAATTGACACCGGGAACACGTTTTGAGCGCGTTTTCACTTTCCGGAGCATCTTTCTAATCGGGAAAACATGGCACATCGCGGCCAGATATCTATACACGCCTCGGTCTAAGTAACAATATCATTGGTTCGTGTTTGTTTCCGATTGTTTGTTGTGAGAAAATAGAACCAAGCCCTGGGCCGTGATTGCATGCGGATGTGTTATTTTGTTCTCATTGCGACAGAAGAACTGAATCCCAAATAAAAAAAAACAAGTAGAATATTTAAACAAATAATAAACAAACGTGTTCCCGGCTTTGGACTCTCGTTTCCAAAACTGATGAATGAAGAGGTTATTAATGGTTTCGACAGCGCGGTGCGTGTCCGCATATCGGGGGCTGGTGAGGGGGGGGGGAGCCTTGACGCACGCTTTCAGGCACGGGGTTCCGTTTGAGAGTAAAAGAGTTTGGCTCTCTCTCTGTGTCTGTGCCCAGCCTGGGTGGCGTGAGTACTGCGAGTTGGCCAGGGTAGGGGGGGGGGGCAGCATTCTGTTTAAAGTAGAACCTGTCCGGAGGGAGAGAGTGCCGCGTATCCGTATCAAAGCGAGCACTTTTGTTTGCCGGGTGTATTTTGGCTCGTCAAAACTCCACCGGGGATTCCGTCACCTAAGATGTCCTAGGCGAAATTACCCCCCCCCCCCCCCCGCCGCTTTGTTTCCAGCATGCAAGCACTTTTCTTTTCTGTCGGATGAGTGGTCTCGTCGTCTTGCAGAAAGTGCTAAAATTAGGACATTATTCTCACCGTGACTTAATTTCTCCCCGAATATCTTCCGAGTCGCCCGCCACATCTGAAGCTCCTGACGCACAATGATGGATAACACCGTGCTGATGATTCCCAACACTTTAAAAACCCCATTCATTACAGTTGTCGCATTGTTCCGCAGCTGTCTGAATTCTGAAATGTGCACAATGTTTTGACTCTTGAAGCGGGTTGATCTCAAGCAAGGCTGTTTGCATTGTTTGTACATAGTGTTCGGTGATGTCATGCTATGCATCATGTCTGTGAAGTCAGTTTTTTTTTATATATGCGGAGTGGTGGCTCTTGTGATCTCTCATTTGCTTGATACGGCTGTCGTGGCTGTGACGGTTCCACCTGAAGACGGAGGCTTGTATTGCCTCCGAAACGTCGTGAGTTTTATTTCATTTTATTTTACTTTTATTTATTTTTTACCTACGTGACTTTACCGAAAAAAACCTAAGAATATGAATCATTGCAGTCACGAAAGCTTCAAATCCAGAAGTCAGTTTTTGCGTATGAATTTAATAATTGACATTTGGCGATACAGAACACAGTTGGGCTAGACATGCTGCTGTCGGCGCTTTTCCCCGTATGTTTTATCACGAATTTAACACTTTATCGTAATGGCTGTTACATGGAGAGAGAGCGAGAGAGCACTTCGACTGGCTCCTTCCCCATGGCAACGTGGAGTTTCCAACCCACTCTGCGCCCTCTGTGACTCCGACGGAGTTAAGTGCCGCCCGTTTGTTCCGCCTGGAGAGCGCCGAGACATCGACCTCGCCTCGACCTTTGTTGAACAACGATGCCTTTTACGACAAGAGCGTGAAACAAGACCCGAGACCATCGATTCGAACAATAATGACGTAGCAGTTGAACACGCAGTCATCGTGGGAGGCTTTGGCGACCAGTGTCATCCATAATAGAGGTTTTTGGGCTAGATCTCGTAAATATAAATGTGTCGTTAAATCCGCCACCGCCCAACACAGCCGCTTAGCAAGGTTTGTCGCGGAAACAATATGTGCCAATTCGTGACTACTTCCGCACTCACCGGCGTGTTGGAGAGTAAACCCACTACAGCATGTACGATCTGAGTACCGTGACGTTTCGCCGGTAATTACAACAACCAGCATCATCAGGCGACAGCCAGAGTTACGGAGAAATATTTAAGACCGAAACAGGATTTCTGCATAACTCTGGTCGTCGCCTGATGATGCTGGTTGTTGTAATTACCGTCGAAACGTCACGGCACTCGGATTGTAAATTCTGTAGTGGGTTTACTCTCCAACACGCTCGTGAGTGCAGAACTAGTCACGAATTGGCACATTTTGTTTCCGCGACAAACCTTGCTAACCCGCTGTGTCGGGTGGTGGCGGGTTTAACGACACATTTATGCGATCAAACGCAAAAACCTCTTTTGGATTGACGTAGCACCCTGCACGCGTCTCCTAACACCGGGTAGGAGAATACTCAAGGGGCTGTTAGGAACGTGTCGCCACCCCTGTATGTACAATGCTGAACTTCTTTCGCACCGTACGTAGCCAAACGTGCGTGCTAATCGGAGGCGTGGGGGAGACAAGCAAAAGGCCAAAAGGAGTTCGAAATAAATGCATTTGTCCATCTAGATGATGACTTAAAAGTGCATATATCCCCATGGCTTCCTAATATCAGAAGGAAGAGCGTTCCAGACGGCCGCAGGAACGCATCTGAAATGTGTTGACCACTGCCTTTGTTCGATGGCTGAGCCAAAAGCCGACGCTGGGAGGATGATCGGAGTTCGCGTGATGGATTTATGCTCCTTGACGAGATCAGCGAGGTATCGTGGGTTCACCTGGTACATTAACCACCTGAAGAATGGTGGTAATGTATCACCTGTTTCCTGTCACAGTGTTAAAAACACCAACTCACCCCCTGGTCAATTGTACCTTATTCATTGATGACACAATTTATAACGCAGCACGATATATATCGAACAGAAAACAGAGGTCGCGGAACCAGTGGCGTGTGCGTCATTCCGTGCCGATCGATAAACACTCCGTATCCCGCTTCTGCATTTAAGCTCGTTACTTTGTAGCAAAGTCGGTTTATTTTTTTTACGACACTGCGTTTTCAGTGGTAAAGTCGCGTAAAAAAACATCACAAAAGCGGTAGCAACAGTGGAATCACGCGCTGCGCTCCAAAGGGGTGGATACAGCGCGTTACAGGTAGATATTTTATCGACCTCGAAGGGATGATGATGGCCTGAGTCAACACCCAATGAGCATTCGAACTCGCAACCTGCTGGACTCACCTGGCAGGCATCATTGACAACACAGTAACAGTATATATCTTAAAAAAACCGGTTTACAGCATTATATTTAACCGGTTTTTAACGTTCTAACACGTAGTAGGACTTTCGCGACCAATATCATCCATAATGCAGGTTTTTTGGGGTGAGATCGTGTAAATATATAGGTTTGTCACGTAAACAGAACGTGTCAATTCGTTATTGGCACGCTCTGTTAACATGACACTAAAACTAACTAATTGGGTGTGTCGGGTGGTGGCGGGTTTAACGACACATTTATTTACGCGCTCTCACCCCAAAAAACCTCTTTTATTGGTTTTAACGTCTTCTCGTTGGTTCTGTACAAACCACGCCCACCCGCGGCTGTAGCCACGCCCACCCCGCAACAAGCCCCGCCCACATCACCCAAAGCCCGCCCCCCACTGAAACCACAACCAATCACATCGCGGAAACCCCCCCCCCCCATCGGGTTGGCGCGCCGCCCACGCACGTGAGTCAGCGCGCGGGAGGGGTGGGGGGTGTGGGCGGTAGGGGCGGTAGGGGAGGTTTGGGGGGATCGGGGGGTAGGGGGGTGTGAGGTGGGGAGGGGGGTATGTGGAGGGGCAGGTGGGGGTGTGTGGGGGTTAGGGGGGTGTGGGGGTTAGGGGGGTAGGGGGGTGTAGGGGTGTGAGGTGGGTAGGGGGGGTATGTGGGGGGGGGGTAGGTGGGGGTGTATGGGGGTTAGGGGGTGTGGGGGTTAGGGGGGGTAGGGGGGTGTGGGGGTGTGAGGTGGGTAGGGGGGGTATGTGGGGGGGGTAGGTGGGGGTGTAGGGGGTTAGGGGGGTAGGGGGGGTAGGGGGTGTAGGTGGGGGGTTGTGGGGGGGTAGGTGGGGTGTGTGGGGGTTAGGGGGGTGGGGGTTAGGGGGGTAGGGGGTGTGGGGGTGTGAAGTGGGTAGGGGGGGTATGTGGGGGGGGGTAGGTGGGGGTGTATGGGGGTTAGGGGGGTGTGGGGTTAGGGGGGGTAGGGGGGTGTGGGGGTGTGAGGTGGGTAGGGGGGGTATGTAGGGGGGAGTAGGTGGGGGTGTGTGGGGGTTAGGGGGGTGTGGGGGTTAGGGGGGGTAGGGGGTGTGGGGGTGTGAGGTGGGTAGGGGGGGTATGTAGGGTGGGGGTAGGTGGGGGTGTGTGGGGGTTAGGGGGGTATGGGGGTTAGGGGGGGTAGGGGGGAGGGGTTGTGGGGGTTCGGAAACGTAAAACACCCCGGGGGCAATGACCCCCACGTCGCACGCCAGCCCCGCCCCCAGCTCCACGCGCGCGCCCCCCCCCCCCCGTTCGAGCGTCGCTCCCGAGGCGGGAGATCAACGCCGAACAAGGTGACTCGGTCCGGAGGTAGGGGCAAGGGGGGGAGGGAGGGGGAAAGGGGGGGAGGGGGTGGGGGAGGGAGGGGGTTGGGGAGGGAGGGAGGGGGTGGGGGTCAGGGGGTGGGGGAGGGGGTTGGGGAGGGAGGGGGTGGGGGCAAGGGGGTGGGGGAGGGAGGGGGTTGGGGAGGGAGGGGTGGGGGTAAGGGGGTGGGGGAGGGAGGGGGTGGGGGTAAGGGGGTGGGGGAGGGAGGGGGTTGGGGAGGGAGGGGTGGGGGTAAGGGGGTGGGGGTAAGGGGGTGGGGGAGGGGGTGGGGGTAAGGGGGTGGGGGAGGGAGGGGGCAAGGGGGTGGGGGAGGGAGGGGGTTGGGGAGGGAGGGGTGGGGGTAAG